CGTCATAAAAACTGTTTTTTTTTCGCTGAAAGCCTTTTCCTGCTTCGTCATGTCAGAAACTGTCAATCAGCTGATCATACAGCGGCAGGGGCTTCATGACTGTGTTGTCGTGCAGCTGAGGTGTGTTTCCTCACCCAGAAATCTCCATCTCAGAGTGAGGAGAGGAGAAATCAGAGGAGGACAGGGGGGTAAGCTGTTAAACCGGGGTGACTAATTGGTGGACGCCCCTGTTAATGAGCGTTTGCCTCCTGGTTAGAAACATCAGCAGGCTGTAAAGCGAGTGCATGAACCCACCCACCCAATAAAACCCACTCTCTGCTGCACATGCCACTCTGACCTCAACAAGGTCAAGTACAGTGACAACCACCTGCAGGACCGCTGTCCGACATGTGCGCCGAGACAGATATCCCGCTGTTTATCGCACACCACATGTTTGTGAGTCACTGTTTGTGTGTGTGTGTGTGTGTGTGGGACTGTGTTTGGAAACACACACACAGGAACAGGAGACAGCTGATGGTCGTTACCTCCGAGTTTCTGCACGAATTTTATTCAAATGGAGCGAAGCAGCAAACAAACAAGTCACACGAGCTGCATGCTAATTGGCTGTTGTTGGAGCGGCGCTTCTTCTGTTCGCATATATTTGTATAAACGCAGGCGAACATGTGAGCTGATGAACCACACAGTATGCAGGTCCATGTGCTGAGTGTCTGTGTGTTTTAATGGCTCTGTGATTGGAGACAGATGGAGGCCGACAAACACGCACAGACAGAGAGTGAGCAAGACAGAGAGAGAGAGAGAGAGACATGCAGAATAACTTTAAAACTGAGGAGACAGAAGGAGATCAGGAGGAGAAATAAACTTCACTGAGAGGAGGCCAAACTAACGGAGGGAGGTGTCGAACCCTGAGAGGACCTGAGGTATCGGAGAGTCTGTGAGCTCAGGTCTGAGTACTTCAGTGAGTCTGGCCCTGAGCCCTGACGAGGTGATAAAAGCTTGTTTCCTATAAACACTAATGATGTTCATTAGAGCGGACCTGAGGGGCCACAGGCAGAACAGTCACTGGGTTTGTGTGTCTCTGTGTCAGCCGCTTCAGCTCCTGGACCTCGGTCCTGGGACAGGACAAGTGCCTTTCCTTTAACTCAGTGTTTGACACTAACTTTGCTCACAAGGAGCACATGTGCTATTATACAATTTCTGGAAGTACTAAGTACTATTATTAGAAATCAATTTGAGGTCTTTTGGTCACATGACAGTGAAGCTATTGAAGGAAAACAGCCTTTTCTGAGAACATCAACCGGTAATTTATTGACGGTCGCTTATTCAACACCGACGTTGACAGTGAGGGTTGACAGTGATGGAGGTGAGAAGACTGGTAGATCCTCAGAGAATGTCCGTCAGATATCAACTGAAACTAAGTCACCGCCGTATTTACAGATTTAACCGTATTTACAGGCGCTGCTGTTGTTATTCCCGGTTACAGGAAAATATATCCAACCTGAAACTAACTTCACCGCTGTATTAACAGGACTCACCGCTGTATTAAGAGATCCAACCTAAAACTAACTTCCGGTAGATCCTACAGAGAATGAAAATATATCAACCTAAAACTAACTTCCGCCTTATTTACAGGAAAATATATCCAACCTGAAACTAACTTCACCGCCGTATTTACAGGAAAATATATCCAACCTAAAACTAACTTCACCGACGTATTTACAGGAAAATATATCCAACCTGAAACTAACTTCACCGCCGTATTAACAGGAAAATATATCCAACCTGAAACTAACTTCACCGTCGTATTTACAGGAAAATATATCCAACCTAAAACTAACTTCACCGCCGTATTTACAGGAAAATATATCCAACCTAAAACTAACTTCACCGCCGTATTTACAGGAAAATATATCCAACCTAAAACTAACTTCACCGCCGTATTTACAGGAAAATATATCCAACCTGAAACTAACTTCACCGCCGTATTTACAGGAAAATATATCCAACCTGAAACTAACTTCACCGCCGATCTTTACTCCTCTTTTATAACTCTCTATTTTTATCTTATCTATCTGGACCACGGTCATCTGAACACAACCTTGACCAGAACTAAATAAAACCCAAAGCTCCCTCCCTGGACCCCTTGACCCCCCTGATCCAGCTGAGGAGCTCTCACAGACAGGAGCAGAGGTGTCGGGTTAGACCTGGTCTACATCATCTCTCCTCTTCTGAGAGTTTTACAGAAATACGTTTTCAGACCATTACCCTCCACGTCTCCATGACGGTAATTTCAGCAGGACGACCTTCAGTGGGCCGGGGTCAGTCATTACGGGTAATACATATGGATGAAAAGACGGTTTTATTAAACTGTCAGCGGGCCAAAGGAAATACACATACCTCGAGAGGTGAATCGCAGAGAAATCTCCGGAACTGTGGAGAGAAGAGGGGAGGAGGGGGAGAGAGAGAAACAGTTAGTGAAAGCACGAATGAAAACCAGACACACATGTCCTCATAACGGCTGTCCTGGACACTTTACCCCCCACCCACCCCCTTCAGGTGTCACATATCAAATACCACAGAGAGGGGCAGAGAGAGCGAGACTGTGTTTACACAAATGAAAACATTTAACCAATCAGCTGCAGCGAGGACAGAGTGACAGCTAAAGTGATCAGAGGGACCCGAGTCTAAATCACCTGTCAGTGGACACACACACACACACACACGCACACACACACACACACACACACACACACACTTTCACTCCTTTTACACCCCCTCCTCAGTTTCCTGGTTTTTCTTTCTTTCAGAGAGCGGCGTATAACAGGTTACCATGACAACCATCTCTGTCAGAGACCGCGTGAGTTTCAGAATCAACTACAAATCATCTACAGAACATCATATGAGGATCTGGAGACAAGGACCAGAACCAGGACTGGATGGTCCTGATCTTCAGGGCGTTAAAAACAGACTGGACTCTGGAGTGGAAATCACTGCATGGAAATTCCTCCAGTTGTCCTTTCAACATAGAACTGAAGATCATAGATGCTGCATCCTCAGTTTTAAACAACATCTCCAGGTTTAGGAGGAACATCTGTGTCCATCCAGAACCAGATTCTGACGACAGCATGGCTCTGTAGGAGAAGAGTCCTGCTGAGAACCTGGACTGATGCAGTCCTGACTGGAAACCATTTGGACCATCAGGACCCCAAAACCAGGACCAAGGAGACCCTGAAGTGTTATTTAAATCTGGACTTTAAATGATCCGGTTTGATCGCAGCGTCACAGCTCCTGTTTGATTTCAGGTGATTATATTTATGATCATATTAATTAATTATATTCATGATCATATTAATTAATTATATTCATGATCATATTATCTAATGATATTAAAGTCGATCAGAACAAAGTTGTTGTTTTAATGTCAGAGGAGCCGGGGGGTGTACCTGTGTTTCCTTCTTATTAAAAACACTTTACATTCCTGGAAATCCCCACAAAACTACCAGCCTTTGTTTCTGTGTGTGTGTGTGTGTGTGTGTGTGTGTGTGTGTGTGTGCAGAGCAGCTGGTAACAGAGATGACTGCTGCAGGCAGGGCGAACTGGGTGGGACAGTCCTGGATTATATACAGCTCTGAATCCTGCCAGTATCCTCAAATCATCCAAGACACTTGTACTCTGATGTGTGTGTGTGTGTGTGTGTGTGTGTGCGTGTGTGTGTGTGTGTGCGTGTGCGTGTGTGTGTGTTGACAGTAATGCAGCGTTCATCGACACAGGAGATGTTTGGGCAGACGGAGCTGGAGGATGAAGCTCAGTCTTCTGTCATGTCTGGTTACCTCTGCCTGAAGTTCAGAGTTTTTTTCTCTTCTCCTCCTCCTCCTCCTTTCCTCCTCCTCCTTCTCCTTCTCCTCCTCCTCATCCTCAGTTGCATGTTTGTCCTTAAAGTAAGTAAATCCAAAATGCTTTTTCTGTTTCAGTTTCAGTCAGAAAAACAAGTGAATCATTGAAATACGAGGATCGAGGGAAGCGTCCAAACCTCAGAAACAAAAGAACCGTGGGTGAGGGTGGAGAGGTGGTGTGGAGCTGTGAGGGTCTCACTGAGCTTCTCCACCTGGACTGAACCTCTCATGAGGATGAAGAGGAGGAGGAGGAGGACAGAGAGGACGACCACAGGAAGATACTAACGCTCCGTGATCCTGAAGCTGCTCCTGTCCTTGTAGTCCTCATTCATTTGTGGACCACTAATGAAGGACCTGGACCAGGTTCCTCTTTGGAGGTCATGTGACCCAAGTTTTTTAACTTCCTGTTCACTTCATGAATCTCTGACAAATACAAAAACATGATTTCCAAACGTGTCGATGCAGAAACTCCGAGTCGACTTTAGTACCAGGAGGAGTTCAAACCAGTCCAGCTCTGTGATTATCGGCTCTTTAATTCAGACTCTGGGTGCAGATGTTAAACTCTCAGCTGATCAAGTTCCCACCTGTGGACCCAGAACTGTAAAGTCTGGTTCCCCTCCCTGACTACCACTCTGCCTCCTGAGGTGTGATCCTGCTCAAGGGCGCACATTAAACTTCAGTTTCAAACCCACTAAATGATTCAGAACAGCTGCTCACCGACGATGAGATCATTTCTGGGGAAAGGTCCAGGACGCCAATCAAAGTCGAAGGAGGCGGGACCTTCCCCGTCCAGGACTCTCTGGCTGTTCACAGGTGTGGAGGTGTCCTTCAGAAGAGGACACTCTGTCAGGACTGAAGTTTGAGGGACATAATGACTGACAAACGAGGACCCCACACGCTGTCTCTCCTGGTACCGCCCCCTTGTGGAGATGCAGGTAACAACATCAGAGCCGTGTTGAAACATGTGACCTCCAGAAGATGTCCAGATATTAGGAAACACTACCAACACTGTGCCACAGAAATGTCCTGTCACACTCGTCTCTACGCGCTATGAAGCGGTGTCTGTGTCAGGGACAGAGAGCGCCCCCTGCTGTTTAAGAAAGGAGCTCATATCTGTTTCAACTCACTCAGTTCCTTTACAGTCTCAGTTTAATCAGACTAAACTCATAATTCGTCTTTTTCTCTGAATCAGACTTCTCTCCTCGTCCTCGTTTACATGCAGCTGAGAAAACTGAATTATTGACGTGAACGTGTCCTCCTCCCCAACACTAGGGGGCGATATGGGTCTTTTCAGCGGCGCTGTTTCCGACCCCATCCAACCGTCAACAACAACAGCAGGTCGGTGTCAGACGTCAGAAGTGTCTACAACTGCTGCTGGGCATTTTGGAGAAACAAGAAGATGGAGCATCGTACAGCGTTGTTTTTGTCCGACATGATGGACGCGCTACTTTTTCTAAAGAGGAGACCAACGCTACTCCTCTACTCTGGGGTTTGTTACGGGGTTACGGGGGCGTGGCTTCATACTCCGACTACGCTGGTTACATGGTAGAGAAAATCGGATTCCAGTCACATTATCTCGGTGTCTTAATCGCAGTTCTCAAACTCAAATTCAGTTTTCTCGAGTGTCATGGAAACGTACTGAGTGATCACTGCATCCTATGTCTGCAGATCTTCAGCCGTCTATCGCTGCATCCCCAGCTCTCAGCGTTAGTGCCTGTCTGTTCGGATGTGTGTGTGTGTGTGTGTGTCATCAGGGGGCTGCTGGGTAATAATCAAACCCAGAGAAGCTTTCCACTGTGTGTCAACTCTGCCTGGCATGAGGAGGCTGCTCTCCTGGAGCCTGGCAGGGTTTAGCCTCCTTTTAAACCGCTGACAAACATCTGAGTGGAGGGCCCCGCCAGGCTGACACACACACACACACACACACACACACACACACACACACACACACACACACACACACTAATGAATTCACAGACAGGTAGAGTCTCTCAGACGTGCAGACAGGAAGGTAACGAACACGCAGATCAGTCTGAGCGTCCTCTCTGTCACACTGAGCATACATGTCGTTTAGAACATACATGTCACACAGAACATACGAGTCGTACTGAACATACATGCATGTAAACAAAGCTGAGAGCAGAAGAACTTCTGGAACGTTCTCCTCCACAACACATGGACTCCATCACTTCCTCTAACTCTCCCTTTCCTATAGTAAACACCCATCTGTGTACGATTAGGAGGACACACACACACACACACACACACACACACACACACACACACACACACACACACACACACACACACACACACACACACACACACAGTGAAGCAGTTATGTCTTACTCACACACAGCTCATATAAACACACACACATCTGTTTTAGCATAATTGCTACTTAGCGCTTGTGTCACTGCGCTCAGAGTCTCTGACCAATCAGGTTCCTCGATTCACCCTCCCATAGGGAACCGAAGCCACGCCCACTTCCGCGTTAGCGCTATAGGTCCTATTGGGATAATAGGAGTGAATGGACAGGTCTATGGTATTTTCTGGTCCGCTTTGTTTTACACCCTGAGTCACAAATATGTTGTATTTTAACTTAAATGATAACCATTAAGGTAAATAAAGGCTATGTTTGTTGTGTAATTGTTGATCTATTTGTCTTTGAAAACACGTAAATGGAGAGACTACAGACCTCAAGAAGTCGCGTAAATGACGTCACGTCAGCATTTCTACTTCTAGCTAGCTGACAACTCCTGTCAACTCGTTATCATTGCCAAAATGCCTGTGTGTTTTGTGCCAGAATGTCACCATAATAGTTCAGCAGGATGTTCCTTTCGCCGTTTCCCGGCTGATAAGAAGAAAAGGAGTCGGTGGATTCAATTAATCAGGTGAGACTTACATGAAATGCGTCGTCTGTCAAAGCTTAGACAGTGACGCAAAAATAGTGCGACGAGCGGTGTAGTTCATTACGTGGTCTCACTCTAAATTAAACTGTAGTTATAGCAACATGTCTAAAATCACGGCTTTTTCGAGGTTAAAATGTAAATTTAAACATGATAAACATTATATGTGAAATCCACGGCGTATACCAAAGCGGACCAGTAGTTATATATATCTGTCCATTCATTTTGATGGGCTCCATAGGACCGTATGCTAACCCGGAAGTTAGGCGTGTTGTCGGTTTCAGATCGTGCGACAGAGGAGTCAGAGAGAGGGACAGAAAACAAAGCGGCGCCGTGACGTCAAAGGAGCGCGTTTTATTGAAAATGTCATTATTGTGCAGAGGCGCTCGCTGCCAAGAGTTATTTTGCTCCTCGATCATTTCTTCCATCTCACTCGAACATTTTACTGCCATCTCGGCGTTTTTTCCGTGCACTTATTTTGGTTTTCGGTCCTGGCCATCAAGACGAGTAAATACAGATTTAAGAGGATTTGTTTTCCTGAAAATAAAAAACACATGTGCAGGAACTCCGAGTCACGGCTCAGCACAACACTTAAGACCAGTAAGTGTGAGAGCGAGTGTGTACGTATATGCCTGTGTGTGCGTGTGTCTAAATAAGTTCAAGTATGTGCTTCACTCTGTCAGGAAACCATGATTGGATGTGGAAGGATCTGGTCTGGCTCTCCTCCAGTCCTGGTATGACAGGAAACGCATGAATCCTAAAGCAAACAGAGCGTCTGCCTCCAGGACCTCGTACTGGCTAATAGGAGCACACAAACAAACGCACACGTACACACACACACACACACACACACACACACTAATGTCTCCTATCGCCTGGCTCTGCTCCAGCCTGACATTAAACTTTCATAGATTCATAAAAACCTCTACAAATACTACATGACCAGAACCTCCTCCTCCTCCTCCTCCTCCTCCTCCTCCTCCTCAGGAGCAGCGGAGAATATCACCTCAGAGCGCTTTCTGCAGAAACGCCGCATCACAACAGAGCTGAGGGATGATGGGAAAACTAGAGCTGAGGACACCAGGAGGTCTCAGGGTACGAGGGTGAAACCATCAAAGTGTGAAAACATGAACCTGCTCTGGAGTCAGGACGAGTCTCTGTACACAGTACTACACTGTACTACAGAGTAGAAATACTACAGAGTATAAGTACTACAGAGTATAAATCCTGTCTGAATACCACAGAGTATGAACTCTTCTGGAGATCAGAAACTTGATTTCCGGTCTTCAGAACTGAAGTTCAGCTCTCTCCATCAGTCCAGCGTCCTTCAGTCTCTCATCCTAACAGCGAGCTCAGATCATGGATCATCATGAAGTTCTTCTACACCGATGGTTCTGCTGTCTCCATTTCTGCCTCTGCAGAGCTACAACAACACTTGACCTTCACTCAGACCCTCCTCAGTAAAATATGGTGTTTTTACAAACCTCTGCTCCTCTGTGAGAGGATGAAGAACCAACAACAACAACAACGATGACAGAGCTCACTTTAGAGACAGTTTAACCCAAACAACGTCTGGACTCTCAGCTCCACCTTCAGGTTCTGCTGCTACATGGAAAAGTTCTGAGTCTGAAGTTCATGTTCTGGAAACAGACAACACAAGTTTTCTCACACACACACACACACACACACACACACACACACACACACACACACCTTTTTGTTTAGATGTTATTCCTCTGCTCCTCGAACCCATCCAACCCCAGTACAGTAATAAAGCCGAGCTGAGGCTGAGCGTGCGCGCACACACACACACACACACACACACACACACACACACACACACACGCACACACACACACACACACACACACACACACACACACACACTTCAGCAGAGCGAGCGTTATGGCACCAGGAAAGAATCTGCCACAGTCTGCCCAATCTGACAGCTTTTATTATTTATTAATGACTTTCCTTTTACGAGCTGGAGAACCGAGTAATTTACTGGGCCTGTGGGGGGGTGGGGGTTGGGTGGGGGGGGCGGTTTTTCCAGCCCTGGGGGACAAAAGAGTCTCTCAGGTAAGTGAGAATATCCAGGAGCTCTGGTTCCTGGTTTTATTCCTCTATGAAGTGAGAAACATTTTTATTTACTGAGTTCAGATCGGACTCAGAAATCTGATTTTCCCTCTTTCATTAGCGGAGGACAGACCTCCTCCTCCTCCTCCTCCTCCACCTCCTCCACCGCAGCAGAAACTCCTCCTGAAGTTAGAGGAAACATCTGATCCATTAGAGGATCCACACAGGACCAACTACTGCTCCAGAGAAGAAAGAGTGCGAAGTATGTCTCTGAGAGCGAATCAAAGAAGAGCGCCGAGCAGAAAATGAGACGAGTGGTTCCTCTACTCCAGAGGAGGAGGAGGAGGAAGAGTCCATGATCTCCAGAAACCACAGGACAGTGTTTTTTCTTCAGGGTCTGAACTGGACCAACATCATTTCTACTGAAGACTGTTGGACTTTGACTTCAGCTGAACGAGTTTAAAATGTTCATTTATTTACAAAAAGGAAACTGAGAAGACGACTGTAAGAGTTTCTCCTCTCAGAGGAGCTTCAGGAGTTTTCAGTAAGTTTAAAAAAAGAGGTGAGAAAAGAGAGAGAGATGTGCTTGTTCTTGATGTTTTTACTTTAATTATTCTGTTAAAATTAGATCAAATCAGATGAGAGAAAAAAATCTGATTTAAGATAAAATCAGATAAAATAAGATAAAATCAGATTAGGGATAAAGTAATATAAAATCAGAATAAATCAGATTAAAAATAAAATTAGATTAAAGATAAATCAGATAAAATTAAATAAAATATGATAAAATCAGGTAAAATCAGATTCAAACAGATAAAATATAAAATCAGAATAAATCAGATTAAAAATAAAATTAGATTAAAGATAAATCAGATAAAATTAAATAAAATATGATAAAATCAGGTAAAATCAGATTCAAACAGATAAAATATAAAATCAGATAAAATCAGATTAAAGATAAATTAAAATTAAATCAGATTAATTTGATAAAATCCGATTGAAGATAAAACCAGATAATATCAAATTAAAGAAACAATCAGATCAAATCAGACAAAATAAAAATAAAGATAAAATTATGTTGAATCAGATAAAATCAGATTAAAAATAAAATCAGATCAAAGATTAAATGAGAGTAAATCAGATATAATCAGATTAAACCAGGTTAAATCAGATATAATCAGATTAAATGAGAGTAAATCAGATATAATCAGATTAAACCAGGTTAAATCATTTGACATCAGTGCAGTTCAGCCCTACAGGAAGTGCAGAATAATAATCATGCAGTACCTCGCTCTCACTACACTCGCTGGGGTCATCGCCATGAACCGCCATCTGGTAGATGGCGTACAGCGCCGCCGACTGCTCATAGGACTCCGTGAAGCGGGGGTCCTCAAAGCTGACTGGCACTAGCCTCACCTTCAAGCACAGGTGTGGAGGGGGGGGGTTATTGGGGATGACAATTAATACAAGGAAGCTGAGGAGTCAGAGGAGCTTAGAGAAAAGAAGGAGGAGAAGGAGGAGGAGGAAAAAGAGGAGAAGAAGAGGAAGAGAAGGAAAAAGGGAAGAAGAGGGAAAGAGGAGAAGGAGGAGGAGGAGTGGTTCTGAGCAGGAGTAAAGAGATCCAACAACAGAAGTTGTAAACAGCGTTATACAAGAGCTCTGGCATGTCAGGGTTCACTTCAGTCTCCCAGTCCTCCTCCTCGGGGCTTCATGCAGCTAAAGCAGCTCGTCTGTTTTCAGTTTGCAGATTGATTCAGAGCTTTTATCAGATTGTTGCACAAGAAAAAACGAGGAAACCAGGAGACTCTGGGAGACTGAGAGAGCGTGGACGTGAAACACACACACATGAGCTGAAGATGAGGCTAGTGCACCGTCTTCAGAGGAGAGACTCGGACCTGAGACCGGGACCTGATCAGACACTAACAGACCGCTCTAAGGAGGACTCACTTCAGACGAGAAAACCACCCTGACCGGGGTCTGAGGGGGGGGCACAGGTGAGGTAAACATGTGAACACAGCTCCAGACTGAGGGCCAACCGCACACCTGGAGAAACACCACGTCTCTCAGCCTCTCGACCACGGAGGATGGAAACATTTCCCCTCCATTTCCTCTCCCTCCTCCTCTGCTCCTTCACAACAACACCTCCTCTCACTTTTTCCCCCTTCAAACCCACATGTTCCTCCTCCTGCTGCTGCTCTGCTCCCACACAAGCTTAAACCTGAGACCGTATGAAGGGCCCAGAAACAGAAGAACTCTGCAGAAACTTCACTGCACCTCAGAGAAAACACAAACTACAGCAGAACTTCAGAGGAACGAAAAACACAGAAGAAGAAAAAGGAGATTTACTCAGAGGAGCGAGGACCAACGGACCAGGCGGGGTTCACAGAACCTTAGAAGACCACCCTGAAAAACCTTAACCTTAGACCTTCTACTGTGTGGAGGTCTTTAGAGAGCTCCTACTGTGAGGAGAACCACAGAGGAACCTCCTACTGTGAGGAGAACCACAGAGGAACCTCCTACTGTGAGGAGGTCTTCAGAGAGCTTCTACTGTGAGGAGAACCACAGAGGAACCTCCTACTGTGAGGAGAACCACAGAGGAACCTCCTACTGTGAGGAGAACCACAGAGGAACCTCCTACTGTGAGGAGAACCACAGAGGAACCTCCTACTGTGAGGAGGTCTTCAGAGAGCTTCTACTGTGAGGAGAACCACAGAGGAACCTCCTACTGTGAGGAGAACCACAGAGGAACCTCCTACTGTGAGGAGAACCACAGAGGAACCTCCTACTGTGAGGAGGTCTTCAGAGGAACTGACAGCGACTCTGAAGGATGAGGGTACGAAGTAAAAACCAGATGAAGTCCACAGGAAAGAAACTTCTAACCAGATCTGAAGATCAGAAGTTTGATCAGCTGATCACGATGATTGGAGGACAAGTCGATCAATGTTTGATCTGATCAATAAAGATGACATCAGAACTACAAAATGTAGGAGAGAGGGAGGAGAACCACTGAGGAACCTCCTCCTGAGGTTCTCAGTGTTTGTGAAGGCAGGTACTGACACCCCCACAGGAACCAGGACTCATCCAACCCCGCCCTCTAACCCGGGTCCCTCTGAGCAGGTGGACCTACACCCCCCGCCCTCTAACCCGGGTCCCTCTGAGCAGGTGGACCTACACCCCCCGCCCCACCCTCTAACCCGGGTCCCTCTGAGCAGGTGGACCTACACCCCCCACCCTCGAACCCGGGTCCCTCTGAGCAGGTGGACCTACACCCCCCGCCCCACCCTCTGACCTGGCTCTCGCTGGGTTTGTCTGGAGGATCCTTGTGAACGGCCATCTGGTAGAGTTTGTACACCTGGTAGGAGGCGTCAAAGGAGGCTTTGAACTGCGGGCTAGGGGGGTTGGAGCGCACTAGCCTCACCTTCAAGAGAGGAGGTGCAGAAAAAAAGGTTAATGTGAGAGGAGGAGGAGAGAGGGGGGAGGAGGAGAGAGAGGAGGTGAAGACACAGAGGAGGAGAGAGGGAGAAACGAGAGAGGAGGTGAGAGAGACACAAACACACCCTCTGATGGTCTTTATCAGGTCTGGATTTTAAACTTTTGACGGTTTGATAATAAAGTAGATTTTCTCTGAAGCTGAATGAGGAACCAGAGTTGGACTCAGAGGGGGGGTTCAGTCAGTCTGCAGCATGAACACAGAAACATCAGCTTCACATGAACAATCAAACACAAAACCAACAACACTGACTGTGAGACGACTCCAAACAGAAACATCAGCTTCACACGAACAATAAAAAAACACTGACTGACTGTTAGAAACTCAGAAATCTTCATTTTTACCAAAGATTTCAGGTTTTTAAGCCCAAATCCAGAGATTCACCATGTCATGAAGGTTTGAACTCAGAGTCGGATTCAACACAAAACCAGTCTGGATTTAAGGATCTTTATATATGTACATATATATATATATATATACATATACATATATATATATGTACATATAAACACATATATAAACGTGTATGTGAGTAGATCCTTAAATCCAGATGTTGTTCCAGGTTGTAAATGGTCCGTGGTACCACAGCCCTCAAACTCATAAACTCATTGATTAGTTGTAGATAATGTCAGACACTTGTTTGTAGTGAGACCTCAGGCCATAACATTACAGACTACAGCGGGGTGCCGCAGCTCAAGGAAGAACATTTATGATCATTTCTTCATGGAAATACAATCAGACCGAGACGCTGAGACAGAAGAACTACCGCGTGTGTAATATGATAAATATGATGATTATTACTTCAAGGAAATGATAAAGAAATGATCATAAATGTTCTTCCTTGAGCTGCGGCACCCCGCTGTAGTCCGTAATGGACTGGTCTGAGGTCTCTACAAACAAGCGTCTGCTGGAAGAGAGTCAGCAGTATGACTCAGTAACTGTGTATTTATATGTCTGTTTGTATTTAAGAGTATCTGTATGTTAGAGCGTGGGTCGGGCGCTCTTAGGTTTTCTTAGGATTGACTGTTTTTAGTCTCAGTCTACAGACATAAGGAGACAGACTAGAATCATGTCAGTGAACCGACACAGCAGAGGAGGAGAAGAGGGTTTTAAAAAACCTCAGAACATCATAAAGTCTGATACGCCAACCCTTTAAGACTCCTGTGTTAATAAAGCAGCAGCGGCTCTTTAATAAAAAGAAGATCAGGACTACAGAAGACCAGGTCTACAGAAGACCAGGTCCACAGAAACTTTCTCAAACCAAAGACAAAATAACACAGCATGAACCGTTTTAAATCTTTAGAAAGGTTCAGTTTTATAACCAATCAATAGAAAATGAAGAAAAAGAGTTTGTTTTAAAACGGCTCTGAAGGGGCTCTCAATCCTGATCTTACACTGACCCCTGGTGGAGGCTGATGGAACTACAGCTGAATGAAACAGAACATTTCTAACTGATAAACCAGACACAGAGGAAGAGTTAGGACGCTGTGGAAAATGTTGACGTCTTTATTTTACCAAAAACAGAGATGAAATAAAATGTGAAATATTTTAGAAAAACAGTTTAAATCTGCAGAAACAGATTAAAATTATCATCCAGGAGCAACAAAAACCCTGAAGCTGTGAGAGACCGCGTGACCTAATGTTTCTGCTCAGAGTCGACAGATGTTGGACAGAGTTTATCATGGAGCTCGGAGATTTATCACCAACTATAGATTTATTACTCACCGCTCTGACTTAGACTCAAAGGTCAAACGGACGTTTTCTGCTCGTTTTGCAGATTGAACTTTAACGACAGAATCTCTGAGTGTCTCTGAGTGTTTTTAAATCTGTGCTGAAAACTGTCTGTGTGTCGCTGCTTTAGCTGATGTTTGAGTTTGACTCGTTGCTGATGTGGAGCTGTGTGAGTCTGAGGGTGTTTGTTTTTTGGTGAACCTCAGAGATGATGAACCCTCCACCCTCCTCCCTGCAGAGCTGGGGCTGTGGTTTCATGTGACGTGACCCCGTGAGGGTCTTCTATAAACTCATGGTGAAGTCACTGAAAGAGGGCTGAATCTAAACGCCATGGACAAGAAGCTCCGCCCACTTCATCACAACACGCCCAGAGGACATGGAGGTTCTGCTCACCTCCAGGTTATGAGAGGAGTTCTCAGGCAAAGACTCGCTGATGAAGTCCTCCAGAGGTTTGGGCTGGTTGGTCTGGGGAGGGTCAGAGGGTGTGGGGGAGACGATGGGGGAGGCGCCATCGTTGCGTTGTCTCATCTGCTCCTTCTGAAGGCGGCGCTCCTTCCTCAGCTCTTTGGCTTTACGACATGGCGGCCTGCTGGCGTCCGCTCCGACTCCTGAAGACAGAGGAGAGACGGAGACAAGAAGGAGTCACACGTCTGAGGGCTGAGGAGCAGATCATGGAGGAAGGAGGGAGAGAAGGAGGGAGAGAGATAGAGAGAGAGAGAGAGAGAGAGAGAGAGAGAGAGAGAGAGAGAAAGAGAGAGGGAGAGAGAGAGAGAGAGAGAGAGAGAAAGAGAGAGGGAGAGAGAGAGAGAGATAGAGAGAGAGAGAGAGAGCAGCAGCATAATGACCATAAAGCTGTCAGACGTTCATCTTTGACTCTCTGTCCTCCTCACGTGGTCACAGCACGGCTCAGACCTCACCTCAGGTCCACAGAGGTGAGGTCTGGAGGTCAGCCGAGAGTTCTGGGTTTTACAGCAGACTACGGTAACTCTGCAGGGACATGTGGTCCAGAAAGGCAAACACAAAAACACAGGACAGTCTCAAACCCTCCAAATAAGACGGAGTTAGGGCGATAAAACGATAACGATATAAAAGATCAATTTCCCTCAATATCAATATAAACATGATCAATATCCTTTTCAATAGTCGTCATTCCGCCATGTTTTGGTCGACTATACGAACAGCCAATGAAAAGGGGAGTTTCTCCGGGTCTGAACCAATCATGTTCTGAATTAGAACCAAGTATCAACCAACTGCAGCGTCGTAGCAGACAGCAGCTCCACCCAACCATAGCACTTTAACAGGTGAAGCCGACAGCACTGTTGGTGAGAAACAAAGAAAATGAGTGCTACCCCCGACAGAAATGACCATGAAGGCTCAACAGATGACCACATCAATGTCAACCACAACACTGGCGTTAGGAAAACGTCGGTGGTGTGGAGGTATTTTGGTTTTTGGAGGTCGGACATGAAGCAGAGTAATGTGGACTGTAAATTATGTCGAGCAGCTGAAAACACCTGAAACACTCGGACTCTAAAGACCATAGAGGATCTGGGACTCTTCCAGGCTCGAAAAATGAGAGTTTTGGGGTTTCCAGGATGTTTCCAGGATGTTTCCAGGTGCTCTTTGGCTGAGGGGATTTGTGAGAGCAGCTCTGCACGACATATCTGAAGTTATAACTCACAGAGCACAAACACACTCCTACACTTCCTCTACAGACCCCCCCCCCCCTCCTCGCTCTGAGGCCGCTGAATCCCTGCTCCCCCCTCCTCCTTCTCCTCCTTCTCCCCCTTTTCCTCCCCCTGAGCTCCTGCCAAGCCCTGCAGCTCTCCGGGCATCATCCCATGTCAACAGTTTACACGCCCACATCCTGTTTGGAGCAATAAGGAAACGAGAACCATTTCCTGCTTGTCCTGCTGCCAACCGCCGCCGCCGTCAGCTCGCTTTCTTCACTTTACGTCATTCTGGGGGGGGGGGGGGGGGGGTCACTGGCAGCCTTCAGCTGCAGCTGACTTCTTCTGTTTCGTGAGTTTGTTCACAGTCTTAGTTCAGACTTGATCCAAAAACCTGCAGGACCGGATTCTTCAGGACCCAGACCTTCACTAGACTCCAGACCTCTGTCACTCAGATCCTGATCTCCTCAAAATCTCCAACATTAATAAAGAAGTAAATCCTCCTGAGGATGAGCTCAGTATGACGGACTCATCAGGACTTCATCTGAAAACAGACCTGCTCCTGTCTGCTGGACCGTGTCAGGAACTGATCTCTGAGGAGAACCTGTGAGGAGAACCTCTGAGGAGAACCTGTGAGGAGAACCTCCTCCAGATTCAACATGAAACGCTTTATGGAGGAAGATATCTAAAAATTACAGCGGAAAACTACAAATTCACAGAGCTGGTGGGAATTCAGATGGAAAAACGTCATTTTTTTAAAACACCGACTCAGAGGAAACATCAAGTTGTTGGAGGACGTGGTTCAGATCTAGATTCAGCTGACCATGATCATTTATTTTGGGATTGTCTGAAACTTTTGTCTTATTGGCGTGATCTTCACGATTGTCTGGAATTTAAATGACTATTTAGTGTCAGCTTCATGTATTTCAGTACCATCGTGTACTCCAGTGAGAGCAGACAAATCTCTAATGAAGATATGATGATCGGAGCGAAGAAGACGGTAACAAGGAAGTGGTTCCAACCCGACTCACCAGGTAACAGACTGGAGAAGATGTTAGTCTGATTGGACATGTTTGTTTGACTCACATGTATAATTATGATTAGATTTATCTTGTTTGTTTCTGCCTGATAAAAATAAAATAAAGAAATAAAGAAACTCTCTATGGAGCATGTGAGCGCTCAGAGTCTACAGAACCAGAGTCTGCAGCCTGTTCATCACACCCACTGAAGCAGAGACACAGTAACCTGTCTCACACACACACACACACACACACACACACACACATACACACACACACACACACACACACACAGGTACTCCTGAGGACTGAGCTTGCAGCCACAGCTGAGATCTCGTCTGACAGATCAGTTCCTGTGGACGACACACTCTTCCAGTCAGGCAGTTAGCACTTCATAAAGGCGACGGCAGTCTCCAAACACACACACACACACACACACACACGCTGAAGTGTGTGTCCCTGCTCTCTCCCACCATCACGACACCCCCTCAGATTTATGAACCTCTCCTCCTTTCCCTCTTTGTTAGAGTCACTCTGTTTTGGGTGACAGTCTCTGTATTTGTATCTAGTGACCCCAAATTTTCACAGCATCCAGAACGGCTCTGATCTGGAACGGCTGTGATTTTCGCCGTCCGCCAATTCCTACCGGATCCGTCTGTGAGGCAAATTTCATGTTGGATTACGGACAGCAGGAATCGCAAGAACTCACAAGAACCCTCAGATTCACGTTCAATCTCACGATAACCAGTTGTCTCTCTAAAGACAGACACATAGACATATAAGCAGTAGATTGTGTCCTTCCAGAGGAGGAAATCTACTTCTAGACTTCTAGAATCAGCATCTCCTCATCCATGGTGTCATCGGGGTGAAATGACGTCTAAAAACCAGGTCCAGGTGTGGATCAGAACTGGGCCTCACAGGTGTGATGGTGCTCCTCTAATGAAGGTCCTTTCAGAGGAGCTCAGATGTTTCTCCAGAGCTCCTGCAGTAAATCCCATCATTTCAAACTGGGACATGAGAACATCCATGAAGGTTTTAGATCCTCCTGTCCTCCTGGTAACCTCTCAGGATCTGTCCTGGAGATGTGGAGCCGGGCTTTCTAAACCTGGACCTGGAGTCGGCCCAAAGCTCTGAAGCTCTGCAGTCATAAAGCTGGAGGAGAAACATGTCCAGGTGTTTTCTGTTGGAGGTGAATGAGGGGGAGGAAGACACTTTAAACCCTCCTCACTTCCTCTCTGCTTACAGCCTGGAAAATCCTGGAGAGGCCTGGAAAAGCTGGACTCTGTGTTTGTGTCTGCAGCTTCATGGACCTTCATAGTTTCTTCAGAAACCATCTGGGCTGAGGAGGACGGATCCTGACAGTAAATATAAACAATGATTGATAAAGTTCACTGATTGGTCGGACCTTGAGCTGTTTCCTGTTTGGATCAGACGTCTGTTATCTCCTCCTCACTGTGTGTGTGTGTGTGAGTGTGTGTGTGTGTGTGTGTGTGTGTTTATCATTCATGTGAGCTGGCTGTGAGAACTTCCTGTTCTGGACAAAATGACAGATGAGCTCGAACAGACCCTCCTCAGCAGAAACAGAGAGGAGCTGAGAACACAGCAGAGTCTGTGACCCGGTCAACAGTGACACACGCTGGACAGAAACGGTACTACAGCGGCGTACCAACAGGTCTCTACCCTGGACAGCAGGACTCAGAGAAACCCTCAGATCAGTGTGGATGAAACCAGGTCAGGATGAACTCATTCACTCTTTTTACAGAGCAGCGGGTCCCACAGGGTCCCACAGGGTCCAACAGGGTCCAGAACCCTCAGCTGACTGAGGTCCCTGGTATCACCCTGACCTGGAGATGATCAGCTGCTGACAAACAGAACCAAAGTCTGCAGAGTCCAGAGTATCGACCCGCTCCAACAGTCTCCGACCAGACCTGTGCTCAGATCCTCCACTGGACCCCGAAGCTTCAAGACTCGGTCAGTCAGACCCGGGATTATTCAGCAGAACTAATTCAGGTCTAAAACAGAACCCCGAACACACCTAAAAACCCTGGGTGGTGACAGAGCTCCAGAACCGAGGTCCAGGTTCGGTGTCTCACCTGGTTTAGGAGCTGAGGTCATCATCCTCCTCTCAGGTCCAGACTCTGGATCCGTCCTGGATGTGTCAGAACCGGTCGGTCCAGCCTCTGGGACCTCCTTCTGGGCCTCAGGGATGTCAGAACTCTCTGCTGGTTCCGTCTGCAGCTCAGAGACAGCAGGACACTTCAGCTCTGAGGGTCTACTGGGCCCCCGGGGGCCGGCTTCTTCACACACAGAGTCCATCGGCTCACCTGCAGCAGAGGAACACAGCAGAGGTCAGAACACACACACACACACACACACACACACACACACACACACACACACACACACACACACACACACACACACACACACACACAGACCCCCCTCAGGTCTCTGTCTCACCCTGGTCCGGTTCTCTGGGCAGCTCTCCTTTCGAGATGAACTTGTTAATCTTCTTCAGGATCTTCTTGTGGGATTTGGAAGGCTGGAACTTGAGGGCGTGACATCTGTGAGGAGACCAGGACCAGGTTCAGTCACAGAAACATGAGGAACACTAGACTGAGGACCCTGAGGACCCTGAGGACTGGACTCAGACCAGATTACCTGATGGTGTACTGAGGACAGCAGGTTTTGTTCATGATGGGCTTGTAGACGTACTTCCCACTTCTGAAAAAGAAAGACCATCACAGAACCTCCAACCAAAGATCTGATCAGTCAAAGTGAGTCACTCAGACCTGACCCGCTTACCTCCTCCATCCTCGGTCTATCAGGTCCTGGTAGTCCTGCACAGTCATGGTGTGAGACCACATCCCTGCAGGAGACAAAAGGAACGGGATCAGGATTCATGACTTCTATAAAGCATCTCCATCAGAACTGAAGGTCCTGAAGAGCCCTGGACCTGTGAGAACCCCACAGAGACCAGGACAGAGACCAGGACAGACACCAGGACAGAGACCAGGACAGAGACCAGGACAGAGACCTTCCTCTGGGGTCTGCTCATGTTTCTAACTCACTGCTTCATTCTCCTCCTCTGAACCATCTGAGCTCCAACGTTCAACTCCTGACCTTCTCCTCTGACACTATATACAGTTCACACACACACACACACACACACACACACACACACACACACACACACACACACACACACACACTGTGAGAGGAGAGCTCTCAGTTTACGTCCAAACAGCCGAGGGAATTCTCTGCTCTACGGTTCACAACAACAACGACGACAAAGTTTGTGAGTGAAGTTTAATGTCTTCACTAACTTTGTTCTCCTGAGTTAAAGAAGTACGGAGCACAAAGAACTTTGGGGGATCAATGAAAACTGATCAATAATGTTTGTCTTATTGATCGACCTTAGTGCTATTATTAGAAATCAATTTTAGGTCTTTTGGTCACATGACAGTGAAGCTATTGAAGGAAAACAGCCTTTTCTGAGAACATCAACCGGTAATTTATTGACGGTCCCTTATTCAACACCAACGTTGACAGTGAGGGTGTCGAGTAGATTTAACCGCGCTGCTGTTGTTATTCCTGGTTATGGAGAGAGAGAAGACACCGGTAGATCCTCAGAGAATGTCCGTCAGATATCCAACCTGAAACTAACTTCACCGCCGTATTTACAGGAAAATATATCCAACCTAAAACTAACTTCACCGCCGTATTTACAGGAAAATATATCCAACCTGAAACTAACTTCACCGCCGCATTTACAGGGAAATATATCCAACCTGAAACTAACTTCACCGCCGTATTTACAGGAAAATATATCCAACCTGAAACTAACTTCACCGCCGTATTTACAGGAAAATATATCCAACCTGAAACTAACTTCACCGCCGCATTTACAGGGAAATATATCCAACCTGAAACTAACTTCACCGCCGTATTTACAGGAGAATATATCCAACCTGAAACTAACTTCACCGCTGTATTTACAGGAGAATATATCCAACCTGAAACTAACTTCACCGCCGTATTTACAGTAAAATATATCCAACCTAAAACTAACTTCACCGCCGTATTTACAGGAGAATATATCCAACCTGAAACTAACTTCACCGCCGTATTTACAGGAGAATATATCCAACCTGAAACTAACTTCACCGCCGTATTTACAGGAGAATATATCCAACCTGAAACTAACTTCACCGCCGTATTTACAGGAAAATATATCCAACCTGAAACTAACTTCACCGCCGTATTTACAGGAGAATATATCCAACCTGAAACTAACTTCACCGCCGTATTTACAGGAAAATATATCCAACCTAAAACTAACTTCACCGCCGTATTTACAGGAAAATATATCCAACCTGAAACTAACTTCACCGTATTTACAGGAAAAAATATCCAACCTAAAACTAACTTCACCGCTGTATTTACAGGAGAATATATCCAACCTGAAACTAACTTCACCGCCATATTTACAGGAAAATATATCCAACCTGAAACTAACTTCACCGCCGTATTTACAGGAAAATATATCCAACCTAAAACTAACTTCACCGCCATATTTACAGGAAAATATATCCAACCTAAAACTAACTTCACCGCCGTATTTACAGGAAAAAAAACATTTGTTGATTTTTTCTATGAACACATGTGACCCTAAATACATTTGACAATTCTACACACATCTATTTTTAGTCGCAGTGAAACGGTCACACTGTTGAGACCTTCTCTGATCAAACACACCTGAAGTGGTACAGATACATGAGGGGGGGTGTTGTTGACTTGATATTGAAAACATGGTGAGAACATGAATGCACCAATCAGAGGAGACAATACTAGACCGAAGAACACGTGCTGAGAAGGAAACAAACACAGGAGGAGGAGGAAGAGGAGGAGGAGGAGGAGGAGCAGAGTCCATTTCTCCCACAGGAACTCTCCTGTTGTTCTCAGACCGGTCCAGCAGGTCCTCCTCTCAGTCCATCAGGTCCTCCTCTCCTGGACTCTCTCCTCTCCCTGGTTCAGATCTAAAGCCTAATTATAGTCCACCTGTCTGACCCGGCTCACCTCCTGTCCCTCACAGGAAATCCTTCCCCGTCTTCCTGGAGGACCTTTTTTTAGCTCTGAACCAAAGTCTGAACTCATCAACGTCCCAGTGACCCGGGTCACCTGACCTGAACTCTCAGCAGGTCTGGGATCTCAGGACTCTCTCCAAGAACCTCACAGCAGACTAAGCTGGACCGTCAAAGACTCACCACGAGGACTTTCCCTCCTGTTCCAGACCAGGTTTTTATTAGACCTGAAGACCACAGAACAAACAGATCCTGATGGACCGACTTGGTCAAGACCAGCAGGAGGGTCTGAACTCTTCAGGGATCAGGTTCACCTGAGGCAGCACCACCTGTCCTGACACACAGCAGACAGTAAACACACCACCCCTTCTCTAAGCATGCTGGGAAATCCCTCTGATTATATCAGAGCTTCAGGATTCATCCTTCACAGGAAATGATGTCATCACAGCGACCACGACCACGACCACGAAAATGTGACAGACTGAACTCGGACTGGGCAAATTGTCAAAAAAAAAAGATCATGATATATTTTGTCGTATCGTCCGATCTCGAATATTATCACGATTTTATTAAACTGAAAGTTTTAAAGCATCTGTACTAAAAACTAGGACTGGGTGATTATATGATTGTGATCGATGATTGTGATCAATTTCAGTTTGATCACGGTGATCAGTTGTAAGCTTATTAACTTGATAAATATGTTTTCATGTTCATGTTTTCCTCATAATCACTCAGGAAGAACTTCTTCCAGTAATTAAACAGATCTGTTGTGCTGCCGGCTTTTAAGGGCACTGATCGCTGACATACCTTACACATCCTCACTTTGGAGATACCTGAACCACCGCAACACAACCGGCACTGAATAACTTTTATTCTCAACAACGGCGTCTTTGGAGGATGACTCAAAGTCGTGAGGTTTAGTTTCACGCTCGGTCATTCTGTTTACTTCCTGTTTTCTTCTCCGGTAATTTACAGAAGTGAGCAGGAAAAGCTCGACTCTGATTGGCTGTTGTGACGCATAAGCTCACAGCTGATCACTGTCACGATCAATGCTATCACGATCATTAATCACGATTATATTATCGCCCAGTCCTAAACTGAACCCTGACTGGGTTCAGGATCAAACCAACAGGATAAAACAGATTCTGGAAAGAGCTTCAATCTCAGTTTTCAGACCCTGAGTCAACACACAGAACCGGTTATCAGCTGTAAACAAACACAGACACAAACACAGACAAACACATACACAGACAGACAGCTGTAAACCTGAGGGAACCTCCATCCAATCACTCTGGTTCTATTTGGTCCAGTAAAAACTGTGTAAAACTGTTTTAAATTGTGTAAACTGTAAAACTGTCTTCAATTGTCCTAACATTGTAAAACTCTTTAAACAGTGTAAACTCTGTTAAACTGTCTAAAATTGTTTATAACTGTAAAAAAAAAAAAAAAAAAAACTGTAAATTGTGTAAAATTGTAAAAAATCTGTAAAACTGTCTATAACCATCTAAAACTATGTAAAACTCTCTAAAATTGTGTAAACTCTGATAAACAGTGTAAACTCTGTTTAACTGTGTAAAAATGTGTAAAATTGTCCTAACAGTGTAAAACTCTTTAAACTCTAAAATTGTGTAAACTCTGTAATACTTTTTAAATTGTCTAAAATTCTGTAAACTGTGTAAAACTGTCTAAAATTGTGCCATTGGTGTAAAACTCTTAAAACTGTGTCAAATAGTCTAAAACTGTGTAAACTTTAAAACTCTGTAAAACTACCTAAAATTGTGATAACAGTGTTAAGCTCTTTAAACTGTGTAAAACTCTTTAAAGTGTGTAAAACCGTCTAAAATAGTGTAAAAGTCTGTTTTAAGATGTCTAAACTTGTGTCTTTTTTAATAATCCTTTATAACTGACCCTCTGCTTTTAGCTAACCATGCTAGCATTATATGAAATAACCAGTGTAACGCAGAGCTTATATGTCAGTTTTTATGTAAACACACCAGAATAGATCAAACTTGATCTTAGATGAGGATTTAAAGTCTTTTAACTGATTTAAAGTCAGAGTTTCTCCTCTCTACTGAAGACCTCAGGCTAAAGGAAGCTAACAGCTACAAACAGAGTTAATCATTACCTCACACCAGCCTTAAATAACCTCAGACTGACGCTGTCTAATAACAGACCAAAGTGCACTTTACTGCTGCACCGTCAAATTAAACCTGTTTGGTTTAATGACATGAATATTAAAGAGTAAATATTTAAGATCTGTTCCTCCTTTAAAACTGTTACAGACGGAGATGAAGTCAGTGTCAGGTTCGTCTCTTAAGCTCCGGTCCTCATAAAGACGGTTAAAGCTGCTGTGAAACGTGTTATTAAACATGTTAAAATTCATACTGAAGCGTTTGAACGACAGAAACACACGAACAAGACCAGCAAAGAGGAAAATTACATGTTTCTGTGTTAATGTGTAAAGTCTGGAGCTGGTGTAAGAGAGGGTACATGTAGATTTATTCACAGTCAGAGAGGATTTTAGCTGTCAAACTTTTATCTTAACTCTAATATCAACATTAACGTATATTTCCACAGAACAAAGGCGCCAAAATTAACAAGCTGAAAAACCCTCACATTAGCTTTAAACTAAACCAAGTCAGTTTAACAGTTACTTTCTAAGTGAAACCGAGTCTTCTGTGCTCTCATCTGAACTAAACTATAAAATAAGTCTATTCTTATTGTTATAATTAGTGTCTTCAGAGGATACAGTCTTTCTAGAACATTATAAATCAGGTCTAAGGAGTCTAGATAAAGTGATTTTGGATCTTTGGTTCACTTCTTGCTCGAATCGGAAGCGACGAATGAGACGCTAACTTCAACACCGTGCTAACCTGCTAGCATAAGCTAGGTCACGAACTAAGGCTTCTTCGCGCCGTTTCTTCGTGTTTTCGCGCGCTCACTCACCGTGGGAAAAGTTCCCCGTTTGGTTCTTACAGTACCCGCAGCGGTACCCGTCATCCCCGCCGAAATACTCCACGATAGTGTAAGATTTAGTCCCTGCCATCTTCACTCTCAGCAGCACAGGGATGACAGCCGCCGGTGTCTCCGGGCTGACTCCGCTTCACGACAGGCCCCGCCCACTCCATTACGTCACTGCCGCTGCGTTCAGGGCAGGTCGGAGATTTAAAGATTCAAACCGAGTCTCTTCATCAACAGGACATATAGGGTCACAGCCATAGTACTATATTCAGAGTTGTTCTAACTCCTAAGAAAACATAAACTTAAGCGGGGGCGTTTCTCCTCTTCTGTAGTCTATAAGCTGGGCCAATAAACTTCTACTGTAGTAAAATGAAAAGGTAAAGGTGTTTTTATTGAGCCGAATTATCAATAAAATCATGATTTTGTGAACAGATATGAATATATGTGCTGTCGAGTTAATATATTTGAACAAGAGCACAGTAAAGTTAAATCAGCTAATTTTCCAATGAGGTTCTGTTGCTGAACGGAACTACACCATGTTCTACTGAGTTTAGTACATGTAGGGTCACAGCCATAGTACTAGACACCTAACATCTTTTTAACTTTGACTCATTTCTTTAGCAAAGAGACTAAACACAACTCACCTACTCTCTTCCAGCAGACACTTGTTTGTAAGGAGACCTCAGGCCAGTCCATTACGGACTACAGCGGGGTGACGCAGCTCAAGGAAGAACATTTATGATCATTTCTTTATGGAAATACAATCAGACCGAGACGCTAAGACAGGCTTTTTATAAAATGTGTCTTTTAGAGTCGATTTTCAGGTTCTTTTATTATTATATTTTATCATGGTTTTATCGTTTTAGTCCTAGATCCAGTGTTTCCTCATTCATCTGTTGCAAGTTGAAGAGTTCTGGTCTTTTGTGTGTGTATCTGTGTGAGTGTGTGAGTGCTGTATGTGTTGAATGGGGGTTGGGTGGAGTTTGATATTTGTATTTAATTTATTTTATTGTTCTTAATAGCCTGTGTGAAAGGACAACACTGTGTGACATTCTCTGTATGAAAAGTGATTTAAAAATAAAGTTTGATTAAAGCACTTCAAAGTTTCTGATTTAGAGGAATAAGCTTTTATCCTGAAAACTTTCATCCCTTATTCTGACATTTTTTAAGTAAATTCTTTGTTATTTATTCTGATTCTGATTATGTGGGCTTGTGTTATCATATCAAGTTTCTCCTCCCCAGTGTGACTCCCTAAATATAATAAAATGATTCTCTCATGTGGTTGAAGACGGACCTGGACTGGGTCTGATCCTGTCCTCACTCTGTGTTTCTGTGTAATCAAGATCTTAGATCAGACCCAGAGTTTGTTTCACCCTTTCTCAGACTAAAACAGTCTCAGCTTCGTGGTTGTTTTTATCCTGCTCTGGTTTGAGAGGAATTTATTCATCTTTCAAAACTCCTCTAATATTTTTGTGTTTATCTTTTTTTATTTTTGTGTTTTTGTGTTTATATTTGCATTTAACCATCTTTTCAAACTTTTGATAACTGTGAGTTAGATCGGCACATGACTCCGATTTTTAGGAGTTAAACTTGACACAGAAACATGAGTAAGAACTGTACAGTATATTTATTTACCGTGTGTGAAGAGGAAAATAAAGGACAGTAACAAATACGAGATTCTTCAGGAACAACCGACAGAATTTTAAAGAAAAACAGAGAGAGGAGAGAGAGATTAGAGACGGAGAAAAAGAAGTTAGAAAACCGTAGACGAAGGACGATGAGGAGATCTGTTCTCCTCAGAGAAACCTTTGAAAACCTCACACTGAGACATGATAGGACCGACTTTAACATAAGGGTCAACGAGACGGACCAGTCTCTGTCTTAGAGAGAGGGGGACAGGCCGTGTGTGTGTGTGTGTGTGATCTTCGTCTCCTTCAGGTGAAGCAGCAGCAGATGTGGATCTTCAGGACCCCCAGGTCTCCAAAACCCTGAACTGAACTCTGAATGTGTCCGTGATCTTCTCTCCTGATGTGGACTCAGTGGTCTGGGTCCTGGGTTCTAGCTGAAGCTCCCCTGGGGCACAGGGATGTTTTCATGGAGGTATTTCATGCTGCCCTGCTCAGAGAAGTCGGCCACAGTGTGCCCGTCCCCTCGAAGGACCCATTTGGTGGTCAGAAGCCCCTCCAAACCCACCGGACCTCTGGCGTGGATCCGTGCGGTGCTGATTCCGACTTCAGCTCCTGAAAAACAGAAGAATTCAGTCGTGAGGCAGAACGTTGGCACAGGAAACCAAGACGCCGCCCTGCGGTCCGGTCACTCCTGGCGGTACACGTACCCAGTCCGAAGCGATACCCGTCTGCAAACCGTGAACTGGAGTTCCAGAAGACACAGGCGCTGTCCACCTGCTGCAGGAACTGCTCGGCCGTCTCCTCGTTCTCTGTGACGATGACGTCGGTGTGGGAGCTGCCGTATTTATGGATGTGGTCCACGGCGTCCTGCAGGCCGTCCACCACCTCGATGCAGCACTCCAGGTCCCCGTACTCCGTCCTCAGAGACTTCACCTCAGACGGGCTGAAAGTCAGATAAGAAGCAAACCGAGGACCGGCGTGGATCTTCACCTGAGGAGGAAAGTTCAAGTTTAAGTCTGTGGAACTCTACCATTGTGGCTTTTTTTAATCTGCACCGTTTCTTTTTCTTGCTTCTGTAACTTCTGTTGTGAGTTCTTTTTTATTTGCAGCAGTGGCGTTCCTCGGCCACCGTACCGCAGAGCTCTCTAACAGACGTGGTCTTACATGTTCAGTCCGCAGCATGTCGATGATCTGGTCAAATATGGGAGTTCTCAGAAGGTCTCTGTGGATCAGGAGGGTCTCCATGGCGTTGCAGGCAGCAGGGTAGTCACATTTGGAGTCTCTGACTGGGATCAAACAAGAACATGTTAAAGTCCGTGAAGAACTTTGGAGGTTTTTCTCCTCAAAGCTCAAAAACAAAAACTGTGATAATGGAAGAAAACATCGGTTCCCCCTTTAAAGCCTCAGACCGAGCTCCCGCAGGATCAGGCACATCTCTTTCACCCAATTTTCACCACATCCGGAACGTCTCCGATCCGAAACAGCGGCGATTTTCGCTCTAGAACTCGATCAGGTTACGATCAGCTACGATCGGAGGATACGACCTTTTAGGAGACATGGAAATTGACGGTAAGACTGTGATTGGACGAGAAAAAACAAATCTGAGACTCAGCGCCGAGAAAACTCCAGAATCAGAGACACAGACAGAAAAAAAACAAATAACTTTTTTTCAATTAAATAAAGTCCACGTACCGAGGTTAAAGGGTTAAAATGATCGGAAATTAAACAGATTTTTATGTTTTTTAGATGATTTTAAACCAACTTTGTCCGACAGGTTAGTCACATGACTCTGGAGCGGGAATCTACGCATGGAAAGGACAACTGGACTTAGTCGAGACGTTTGACCTCCAGTTGTCCTTTCGACGAAGAATTAGAAATCATACAGTCCGTTTCCATGACACTCGAGAAAACCGAATTATCGCCTTATTCCGATCAAGACCGGACAACTGAAGGTCATGTAAACACCTTAGTCCGACTATAATCGGCGTCTGAGAAAGAAGTCGGTGTAAATTGACACGTTAACTTGAATGTTTACGATCAGCTACGATCGGAGGATACGACCTTTTAGGAGACGATCAGGATGAAGGTGGAGGTCGGGGGTAAAACCATCTGGGTTCTCCTACCAACATCGATGGCTTTGTCGATGCTGGCGTCCTGGTCGATGTAAACATGGCAGACGCCCTCGCTGTGGCCCAGGACGGGGATCCCTTTGGCCGCCCTCTGAATGTTTCTGACCAGCTGAGACGAGCCGCGGGGGACGATCAGGTCGATGAGTTTATCCAGTCTGCACAGGTCCTCCACTTCTTCACGGGTGCTCACCTACAGGACCAGGACCAGGGGTTAGTCAGTCACCTGACCGATTCTTTCTACAGTCAGGCAGTAAAGGTCATTGGAAAGGTCAAAGGTCATATCCATATCTAATCAGTTTTGAATCGCGTCGCATCGACAGGAGCGTCAGTGTATCGTTAATGTTCTGTATCGTGGCGGCGTATCGAGATGCGTCTCGACTCGCCCTCAGTGGTGGAGATAAACATCCTAGTCTGCGCTCTTACCAGCTGGATGGCGTCCGTGACCCCGTGGATAGAGAGCGCTTCCTGTGTGAGCTGATGGAGGATCTTGTTGGTGTTTGAAGCTTCTTTCCCGCCTTTCAGCAGCAGAGCGTTTCCGCTGGCGATGGCCAGAGCCGACACCTGAAACACAGAGGTCAAAGGTCAGACGGCGTCCTCCTTTATTTCGGCGCCACCTCAGTCCAGTTTGTGGTTTTTCTGAAGCCCCAAAGTTGAACTCTGAACTCCCAGGCTGAGGGTCCAGACCGGCTCACCTGCGGGAGGCAGTCAGGGCGGGACTCGAAGATGACCAGCAGGACCCCGATGGGGACGGTGATCTGTTCCAGCTCCAGGTTGTTGGCCACCCGGGTCCTCCTCAGAACCCGACCCACGCTGTCCCTGGAGGAGACGGCGAGCTGGCGCAGACCGATGGCGAGGCTGTTTAACTTGGCGGTGGACAGACTGAGGCGGTTCATCAGGGGCTGGGACAGACGACCTGAGGGGGAGGAGCAGAGAGACCCTGAGAACCAGAGTCTGAAAGAGACCAGAGACCAGGGTCCTGAGACCTGAGACCTGAGTCCTGAGACCTGAGACCTGAGACCAGAGTCCTGAGACCAGAGACCAGGGTCCTGAGACCAGAGTCCTGAGACCAGGGTCCTGAGACCTGAGACCTGAGACCAGAGAACAGGGTCCTGAGACCTGAGACCTGAGACCTGAGAGCTGAGACCTGAGACCAGAGTCCTGAGACCAGAGAACAGAGTCCTGAGACCAGAGACCAGAGTCCTGAAACCAGAGACCAGGGTCCTGAGACCAGAGACCAGAGACCTGAGACCTGAGGCCAGAGTCCTGAGACCTGAGACCAGAGACCAGGGTCCTGAGACCAGAGACCAGAGTCCTGAGACCAGAGACCAGAGACCTGAGACCTGAGACCAGGGTCCTGAGACCAGAGACCAGAGTCCTGAGACCAGAGACCAGGGTCCTGAGACCTGAGACCTGAGACCAGAGTCCTGAGACCAGAGACCAGGGTCCTGAGACCAGAGACCAGGGTCCTGAGACCAGAGACCAGAGACCTGAGACCTGAGACCAGAGTCCTGAGACCAGAGACCAGGGTCCTGAGACCAGAGTCCTGAGACCAGAGACCAGGGTCCTGAGGAGCAGATTTTAGTCGACCAATCAGAGTCCTGGTCTCAGCTGCTCCTCCTCAGAGGTCTTTCTCAGACTTCTTGAGGTTCAGATATTAGAGACAAAAACTCAGATCAGGATCTGATCAGCTGGGACCCCTGAGGATAGAGAGATCTGGTGTTTAACATCTATGTGATCTGAGGATCAATAATCAGTTCAGACGACAAAAAGACAGATCGACTGAAAAACTGTTTAAAATGGAAGTTTCTTCTTTCAGACCGACTGATTATTCTTATTTACTGACTGATTCTTAGTCTCATCTCTCCCTCTTTGATTTGTAGTTTTCTCTCCGTCACGCTGAGATGATCAGGATTCATGTTCAGGTGAACACATGAATGACTCTCCCTCACATATTTCTGTATGAAAACATTAAAGCGTCACTTTCGTCTCAGCAGGTCTGAGTTTATTAAAAATCATCTTCAGGGTCGAAACAAAGAGCTTTATTGTTTTTCAACACTCCAAATCCCATGATGCAATCTGACGCAGCATGACCTCTGTTGAACTGTTAAAAAAAACACACATGGATGTTATTCTGGATTCTCAGGTTGGGTTAGATCTCTCCTCTGGCTGCAGGGCGAAGAACATGTTTCTCCTCTGTGACATTAGAGTCTGAGCTGAAGCTGAGAAACATAAAACTCCCTAAAACTCCCTGAAAATCCCTAAAACTCCCTGACGTTTACTTTGTTTCTGAGTTTCTGTCGGTGTGTCTGTACCCGATAGCGAGGCCATCTCCATGTCTCTCTTGTTGGCGCTCAGGATCTCCTCTTTCTTCTCTGTGAGCAGCTCGGCGAGGCAGCAGATGATCTCTCCTCTCTGGACAAACAAAAACATGAAAACAACAAAAATACAGGAAACACGTCGTTAAAGTGGCATCCTGAGCGGCGTCCTGAGCGGCGATCACATGGATCCAGACTTGAATCTAAACACTCAGACCACACCTTCCACACATGAACCGAGTCCACACAGAGACTCACCTGCTCAGGGTGCAGCGAGGCCAGAGTCCTCCCGGCGTGTCGAGCCATCTCCGCCTGCTGCTCCACGGTGGGACCTGGAGGGGCCGAGAACCACGTTTGAACCCCCAGAACTAAAGTGTCAATCATTCAGAGAGAAGGTGTGAGCGAGCACCTGCGGGTTTGACTTCAGAGAAGAAGGTGCCCACTTTCTTCCCCTCCACGATGTCCGTGATGACGTGTCCCGTGACTTTAGGATGTGTGCCGTTAGCGATGACCACGGACGTCCCGCCCTGCAGAGCCCAGAGCGCCGCTTTCACCTGAATCAGAGCACATGATGCACTTTAACTCCTCCTCCTCACAGACTCTGACCTGCCCATGCTCTCAGACTGACCTTGGCCTCCATGCCTCCAATCCCGACTCTGGACTTGGTGCCGTAGGTGATGGACTGCTGATCTCCAGGATAAAATATGTCGATGAGTTTGGCGTCGTCTGTTCCTGGAGGACTGTCGTACAAACCTGCAGCAGAGGTTTCATGATCAAAAGTCAGAACCATGAAGTCCGAACGAAACCTTCAGTCCACGTCTGATTTAACGGATTCATGATTGAACATGTTTGTGAAGAAAGACGTGTTTTTATCAGAGCGCTTTCTCCTCCCCTCCACCTGACAGAGTGAAAACATGATCTGTGATATCTGCTGAGCTTCAACTCTGGACAGGCTTCACCCTGATCTCTACATGATGGGGTTCAAACCTACGACCTTAAAATTAATCCGTCCACCGGTCAGAGTTCAAACATCACAAAGACGGCTCAGGGTTTCAAAGGACTGAGTGTAAACTTCAGGCTGTCTGAGCTACAGAGGTGACTCCATCACCATGGTAACTTACTCTGAAGGGTCAAGGTCAGGGTCAAGGTCAGGGTCAGGGTCAGGGTCAGGTTTAAGGTCCATGAATTAAATAAATCAGTATTTACCTTCCACGTCAGACAGAGCGATCAGCAGATCTACTTTCATTTCCACAGCCAGCCGTGCGGCCAAGCTGTCGTTGTCCTTGATACTGATCACCTACAATACAAACACAACAGAAGCAGGTCTGAGTACAACTACACAACAACAACAACAACATCACTGAAAACACATTTATAGAGAAGAGAATAACCAAGTGTGAGACACAGTCAGAGTCATTCCTTCAGAGACAGAGAAAGCTGTAGAGTCAGCTCTCTCCTGGCTGGCTCGCCACTTATATGGTAGATTTCATAGATGCAAAGGTGCAAAAATGAACCATCCAAAGACAGAATCAAGTTAGCAGCCTCTTGGGGGATTTTAGTGTAGTTTGCTCGCTGGCCGGCTCTGCCAAATTTCGCCATGTGTGACAAGTTCAGGTCGACGTGACCTCTCTGGCCGTGACCTGCATCCTGTTTTTTCAACAAGCTGCAAAAACAGGCCACTAAGTCTGCTCTACTGCTCTTTCTTTGCTCGAATTATTGTCTATATACATCTTCTAGTTGTTTTCTTTTTGAAATATATATCTGTGATGTTTTATAATTATACAATTTTAATTCTTCTCTCTTTTATGGACTTTTTCAGTTTTTCAGTGACTTGTCTACATTTGTATTTCTCTTACCATAGAAAAGTTCTTTTAACTTATTTTCTTTTTACTTATTATTTCTCAACATCTTTTATATTTTAAGATCTACAAAACCCAAATTCCAGCACTTAGTTGCTTGTTTGTTTGTTTTTGTTTTAGCTCCAGAATATATTATTCAAACACAGTAATAGGAATATGCAGCAGTAGTCAGGGTCTTAGTCAGGGGTGTTTGTGATGCTTCCTTTGTATGTTTTAAGAGCTGTACAGTATTAATCTGTATAAAACTAATACAAATATTGTTGAGTAAAAAAACAGGGTTAGGGTTAAAGGTCATCTTATCTTTCATCTGATCCAATCACATCTTTAGACCATGTTTTGAATTCCCAGCATGCATCTCACCCAGTACCCACATTGACCCCCTGCAGGTCACTGTTGGGAACAGGAGGAGGGACGACGGCGTCGTTGGTGTTGATGATGGGGACGATGTTCATCCTCAGCAGCTCGTGAAGCGTGCTGTTCAGGTTACGGCGCTTCTGCTCGTCGTGAAAGTCCAAGTTTGTGACCAGGATCTGCAAACGTAGAAAAGTACGACCATGAAAGAGACAGTCCTTTAGGGTCTGTTATTAAAGATTACTGATGCATCTTTTTAATTGGCAGGTCTGAATCAAACACGTCTTCACCGAGTCTGCACCAATCACAGCCTCTATAACAGCGTTTACATTTAACATGTGAGGGATTTTACGCCTAAATTATGAGAAAATTAAGAGAAGAAGAGGGGAGAGACCATGAACCATCTACAGAGTCATGTTAGAAAGCTGCAGGACATACCTGTGCAGTACAGGTGCTGTACTGAGTGAACATGGCCTCATACAACGCCATCAGCCCGCTCTGACCTGCAGCCGCACACGCTCTCGCCTCCAGCACCGGCACTGACTGAAAAACAGAGATTTGACCCAAATGAACAGAAACTGAACAGTTTGACTTTCGTCTGTTAAAGTGAGTCCAGAGTGGTCACCATGTCTTTGAGCTGGTTCTGTCCCGAGTGCAGGGCCTGTCTGACGCTCTGAGACAGCAGGATCTCATGTCTCAGTCTCTGCTTTCCAAACGCCACAGCCCCGCTCGTCACGATCATCATCTCCCTGCCCTGATTCTGCAGCACGGCCACCTGACAGGTAAGATAGAGATCACTCACAGCCTCTGCTCCACTCTTTTAGTATTAATATAGTCAGTAAACATTTTAACGAGTCACACACACACACAGTAACGCTGGAGTTACCTGCTCCACGATAGAGGCCAGCCGTCCCAGTGCCAGCCCACACTCATCTCCTCGTGTCACCACAGCGCTCCCCAGCTTCACTACGATGCGTTTGGCCTGTTTTAATTCACTGCGGTGGGCGAAAGATTTCCCATGGGGCCGTGGGAGTGAGACTGCGAACAGATAAAAACCATCAGCACGTATGAAAGCTCAACTCTCACCTTTACACGAACACACAGCTTAACGAAGCTCTGAACATTATAAATATATCTGTAAAACTTCTGCAGGAAACTTCAGAAATTCTTCATGTTTCCATGATCTGCTGACAAGTTTGATGGAGACCCTAACCCCCCCTCTTCCAGCAGGACCAAACACCTGCCTGCAGCGCCAAAACTCCTGATAAATGGTTGATATTAGTGATGTGTCCTTCCGTGCCGAGGCTTCGAAGCGTGTGTCGAGTAATGAAGGGGGCGTTTCCGCGAAGCGCGTATCGAGGCTTGCTTCATGTAGGGGTGGAGCCAAAAATGATGACATCCGAAGCCTCGCTACCCGGCTATACCACGTGACTGGTTCAAGAAACGGTTCACGGGTTTGGCGGATGATTTAACAGGCAGCGAAACGCAATGGAGTCCTGCCCCACTCACAATCTATAGACTCGAGACTTGTTGAAAAGTTGTTTTTAAATATAAATAAATAAATATAAATGAAATGTTTATGTTTTATTTGTTGTCCCCGTAACAAAAGTACGAACAACAAACTAAGTAACACATTCACATCACAACCCTCTCCATAATTTATGTCCTCTTCCCCTTTTTGACACTGCAACTGTGTCTTAAAGACAAACACCATATTAATAACTTCATCATTTCTGCATTGTATCACAAACACACGGCATCACATCCATTCATTCATTGGATTCAAAGCTTCGCGCACGAAAGCCTCGGGGTGTCTTTGGTTTATCACTCTGCCTGTTTTACATTTATTGTCCACTTGATGGCGCAATAGAGCAAATGAAGCACGACCATGAAGCTTCGGCCCAGGAGGCGAGTAATTGGATGGAAAGCTTCGATGCTTCATGAGGCTTCATCTCGCCATCACTAGTTGATATGACTTCATTAGACTGTTCTAGATCAAACATGAACACGGTGTTGTCTCACTACAGACATTCAGACTTCCTGACTCTCCTGAATGCATCAGAAATGGAAGATCTGACCTCCTACAAAGACCTGACAAAGCTTTGGACTAATCTGATGTTTTTATTCCAGCAGACTGACGACCCTTCTTCAAACCAGGATTTCATCTGCTGAGAGTTTATGATGATGCAGAGTCAGGACCTGGTGGTCAAAGGTCGTCAGCTAATTCTTTAGTTTGGACATTGTTAACATCTTATATCTGTGAATCTGGCTCAGTATCCAGAACCTCAATCCTGCTGACTCCGTTTGTCCAGTAGATCACTGGTGTCCAGTCAGTGGTAGTTTTGGTGCTGTGGGCAGGTGTTACATGGTGAATTCATTTCTTCGATAATTAACACCTCCATGCTGGATTATAATCTCCCACATACAGATCAGAGGTTAGTCAGGAGGTCCGCTCTCTTACACTTGGCCTGAGAAAAGGCTCTGATGGCAGCCGGACAGACATTTGACAGCCTGGTTCTGGGGGGGAGGCGGGAACAGAGGACCAGCCGGGTCAACATGTCAGGAGGACCTGCAGACAGACAGCTGTGAAGACCACAGACCAGAGTCCAAAGGGGTTAGAAGGTCTGAGACAGGTTGTAAAACTGGACTAAAACTGTATTTAATCTACTGTAATCTGACTAAACTCCACTAAAACTGTATTTAATCTACTGTAATCTGACTGAAACTCTACTAAAACTGTATTTAATCTACTGTAATCTGACTAAACTCTACTAAAACTGTATTTAATCTACTGTAATCTGACTAAACTTCACTAAAACTGTATTTAATCTACTGTAATCTGACTAAACTCCATTTAAACATGATTATAGGTCACATAGATGTTTGAAGTCTGTTAGCTCAGGTCTGACCCCGACCCACTGACCCACTAAAGACCGTGTTTATATGTGAGTCAGTCCGATAATAACACAGCTGACTGTTATATTTATAAGAATATCTGTAAATATTAAAACACTAAAGTTTAGCAGAAACCCACAGCTGTCAGAGCCCACCTGAGGCTAACAGACCGAAGCTAACTTTAGCTCCTGTTAGCTAACTCACTGACTAGTTTCGCGGTTTTTTTAATTAAAGGGATCTTCCGCTGAAAATAAATCTTTACCGACAAAATGAGGATGAATAGAGCCGGCGGAGCTTCGCTGTGAGGCCGCCGAGGAGACTCGTCTCTGGGCTGTTTTGGTGCTCTGCTGCCACATCCACAACCCACGCTGAGTGGGAAAGGCCGTACGTCAGATATTCACGAAGGACGTCTACGTAAGAAACGTGAATACGTACGTGCTGCCATAGATATCTAAAAGAAAGGTTAGATGACTCCATGAGGCGGAGTCAGCAGCGTCCCTGCATGGCGGCCATCTTACTCAAGTTTACCATTCTGGTCCGCTCTATGGTAGCTGACGGGAGGTGAGTAATCTGATCAAAAATCCTCTTAACTCGCTGAAATATTGACAGATTTACAAATGGGTTTAGTTTATTACAGACCTTAATAACGAGGCTCTGAGTCGGGATGTTTGGACATATTAAAATATCAGATTTACTTTGAGAAAAAAAGACTTAATCATGAAGAATAGTTGTTTCACTTTGGGCTAACTTTGAGTCACTTTGTCAAGGCTAACTGCCTTGTGTGTGTAGACCTATAACTATTGCTCTGCCTATCTGTTTAATGTTTATTTATGTAAATCCATGGTTTAAATTATTCTTCAGTATGCAGGAACATAACTAAAACTCTGAGGTTTGTTACAAAACAAACTGTTTGAAAATCGGTTTAAAATTAATCAATCTATGGTTATTTAAATTAATTAATCTATGGTTATTTAAATTAATTAATCTATGGTTATTTAAATTAATCAATCTATGGTTATTTAAATTAATTAATCTATGGTTATTTAAATTAATTAATCTATGGTTATTTAATTTAATTAATCTATGGTTGTTTAAATGTTACATGAACTGTAGACTGGAATGTTAGGAGTGGGCGAGTTGGCCGTTGCAAGATGGCCGCCATGCGCGTAAGCCATCTAGTGTTTATATATCTATTACCATCCTACAAAATACCCCCCCACCCTGGTCTCTGTGAATATACGTCATCATTAGTGGACGCAGCGTGCCTGTGTGTGAAGGACGCCGAAAAGAGGATCTAGATGAATTAGAGTCTATATTAAAGGTGAGTTAGTGAATGTTAATTCAGAGATATGAGATAATTCACCTGTTAGTCACTTAAATTCTGTTCCCTGAAACAGTAAAGAGGGAAACAAACAGAACTCTGATCCAGACTGAGCTAACCGGAGCTAAAGCTAACCTGGATCAGAGTTATTGACTCTATAATCTGTAAACTTTACTCTCTGTGTTCAAACATTGAATAAGATTATAACAAGAATCACAGGTCATTAACAAACTCTGAAAACCTCCAGGATCCGTAATGAGCGCGTATTTACGATCTTCGAGCTGCTCTTGATTCGATGCTGCGACGGAGCTGATCCGCGTCCTCTACGCTTTGCTGCGGTGATTAGAACTATTTGCTGCAGGATACGCGACGCTCCAAATACGCATCCTGTACGTTTTAACCTTTAGACACTAAACTTGTACACCCAGACTGTTCTGACCGTAAATGAGTGAGTGAGAAATATTCATGTCATTATATTAAAGCTGAGTTATAAACATGCGGTAAATACACATTTTATTACATTAACATTAAATATGAAATAACGGTGTGTGAGGCGGTGGAGAAGCGCTCCAATCTCACTGTACTTCTGTATAATGACAATAAAGGGCATTCTGGTTCTGATCCTGGTTCTGGTTCTGACTGTCGTCTCTGTCCTCAGGTGTGTCTCAGGTGTGTTTCCATGGCGGTGTCATGTCTGACTCGAGCTCTGCGCTCCTTGTCTCTCTCCCACCATGCCCTGCTCCCCTCACAGGTAAACACCTGTCCATGTCGTCTTACAGCAGCTCGGTCATCAATCATCAATAATCACCTCTGACTGTTATTGATCACAGGCAGCAGCAGCAGCAGCTCAGAGTAAAGCTGGAGCTCCGCTGATGTTGAAGACCGTCCAGGTGAGAGGCTTCCTGACCACAGCTGCTCTGGATCAGAACCGGACCTTCTGGAAGCAGATGGAGAAGTACACCATCAAACCCATGGGCATGAAGAAGACCGGAGGTCGGGATCACACAGGTACCCCCCAGAGAGGGACTGTGGACCCGGATCAGCCGGGGATGGTTCCCTTAGAACCATGAAAAGGTCTCAGATGAGGTTCAGGGAGGATCTAAAGAAGGGAGCCAGAAACACCGAAACACCGGTGTTCTGAATTTAAACACACCTTCTTCTGTCTGTAGATCTACTTTGAACCATTTCATCACTAAATTAATCTTTAAATCAATCAATCACTAAATTGATCACCCGTTCTGTCCAAAGATCTGGATCAGACCCGCTCTTTATCGCCCCCTTTACTTCGAAGTCCAGTTCCTCCTCCTTTAAAGGGCTGTTCGCTGTTTTTTTGTGCGTCTCAAACAGGGAAGATCAAAACTCACGGCATCGGCGGAGGTCACAAACAGAGATACCGCTGGATCGACTTCCAGCGGCTGCGATACGAAGCGGGGAGAGACGCCGCACCGTTTGAGGAGAAGGTGGTGGAGGTGCGCTACGACCCGTGCAGGTGAGTCCAGCTCTGAGCGCGCAGAGACTCCGGTTGTTTTAAAGATGGAGGACGTGTGATGATAAAAGGTCGGATCCTCTCAGGTCTGCAGACATCGCTCTGGTCGCTGGAGGAAAGAGGAAAAGGTGGATCATCGCCACGGAGAACATGCAGGCCGGAGACGTGATTAAGACCTCCGGAGTGATTGGACGGATGGCAGGTATGAAGTCCGTCCTTCGAAGTTTGAGTCGGGCTGAGAGACGCTCAGACTGAACGTTTCCATCTGTGTCTGACTCCGCAGTCTCGGCCAATGAGGGCGATGCGTACCCGCTGGGAGCCCTGCCTGTGGGGACGCTGGTCAACAACCTGGAGATCCAACCGGGGAAGGGGTCCGAGTACATCAGAGCTGCAGGTCCTCAGATTAGAGACTTTTTATAATTTAAAGTTTATAATTTTTCAACAGACAAACGAACTTAAAACAAAACAGAAATAATGGAGGTCAAAAATTAGTCATAATAATAAAATAAACAAAAGAAGATGAAACTAAGACAGGCAGGTGAGTTAGTAAGGTAAGAAAGTGAACACACCTGTCGACCAAAACTATCCTGTTCTTCTTTTCTCATCTTCACTCTTTAATCTCTCCATCATCAGAGTTAACGAGGATCCTTCTCAGGGTTTTTATCTTTCTGAAGATCATTATAACCTTTATTATTTATCCAAGGACACATCTCAGACCATCGTGAAGCTTTAGGATGTATTTTGGGTTAATGAAGTAACATTAGATTGGACTTCTGTCCTGACCAACAGGACCCACCTCTTTAATAAGTGAACTCTACCCTCTAAATAAATGTTTTCTTTAAATCTAATATAGGAAAGAAAATTTCTAATAGATCGTCTATAATTCTGACGTCTTTTCTGACCCTCTGAGCTCAAAAAATCGTCTGTCTTTCTATCTTTATTTGTGTCATAGATGCATCTTTTTGAGTAGACAGAGATTTTACATCTTTTACTTCGATTAGAGACTTAAAAACACAAAGACTTCAGGAGGACGGTCTTCATGTGTGAACAGAGAGTTAGAGGTGGACCGTCTGTTGCTCTCCTGAAGGTCACAGCTGTAGTTTGAAGGTCGTCCTGCTCAGTGTCTGTAACTCTCTCTCTCTCTCTCTCTCTCTCTCTCTCTCTCTCTCTCTCTCTCTCTCTCTCTCTCTCTCTCTCTCTCTCTCTCTCTCTCTCTCTCTCTCTCTCTCTGTCTCTCTCTGTCTCTCTCTCTCTCTCTCTCTCTCTCTCTCTCTCTCAGGGACGAGCGGCATCCTCCTGCGGAAGGTCAACGGGACCGCCATCGTCCAGCTTCCCTCCAAGCAGCAGGTTCAGGTGAGGATGACGACGATGATGATGATTGACGGTCCGACTGTTTTTCAGACTTCACTCTGACCCCCGTCTTCTGGACCCTCAGGTTCTGGAGACCTGCGTCGTGACCGTGGGACGAGTGTCCAACATCAACCACAACAAGCAGATCATCGGGAAGGCGGGTCGGAACCGCCGGCTCGGCAGACGCCCCTCGAGCGGGCTGTGGCACAGGAAAGGCGGCTGGGCGGGTCGGAAGATCAAACCTCTGCCTCGGATGAAGAGTTACGTGAACCTGCCCTCCATCTCGGCGTGAGGACGCCGGAGGGGCGGAGTCTGGACTGTTTATGTGTGGAGGAATAAAGAGTGGAGTTTGTACAGAAGATTAAAAACTTTATTAAACACGACTGCCTGTGAGAGCATGGAAAGAAACCAAACAATATAAAAATCCAAAACATATTTACATGGATAGTAAAACATGCAGAGTAGTAACCCATATCTTTAGTGGTTTCAAATTTAAAAATACTGTCATGTCTCTAAAATAGGGTTTGTGCAAAGACACCGGGGGCGTTTCAAGGAACCGGAGCGACGACGAGGCAGCGCCGTGTCCGTGTCTGACCGGTCCGGCCTCCTCAAACACCCCCACGCTACCTCTAGATTCAGGGCGAGTAAAAAAAAATGACACTTCAGGTCAAAACATCGAAATGAGCCCGTTTACTTTAACGATGATTCCCTCAAACGCACCAGAAACGAGAGATTTCACCGAGTGGCAAAACATGGAGGAACAGACGGCCGGGACCGGACTGGAGAGGGGACCGGCTCTGGGTTTTACAGAGTCCCTGCATGAGGTTCTGGTCTTAAGTACGTGGATTAGTCACAGAAGATCCGGGTCAGTTTGGACTCCTCGATCAGCTGTTCAGCGAAAACCAAACAAACTAAGAAGACGCCGTCAGGACCGAGACCCGGTACCAAGAGGGGCGGATCTGAGGAAACCAGCAGCTCACATACAGCTGCGGTCCGGAGTTCAGTCAGAGCAGCAGGTCGTCCCCGAGAGGACGGAGCGACTCGACCGCCGTCACTAACAAACGAAAACACGCTCAGTCGTCTTCGATCACCGCCGTCACATCTCAGATTCATCTGGAGTAAAACTATGCTTTTATTTTGAAGTACAGGACACTTCCTGTGGATCATGAGCTGCTGATCTGAGTGACAGCGGTCTGAATGTTGACCTCTGACCTCTACTGTAAACTCGCCACAGTTCTTGGTTTTAAAGCTCCAGTGAGGAACTTCATGTCGAGTTTGGCGCCCCCCTGTGGACGGTCCTTAAACTCAGAATCTTCTGCCTCTCCGTGTCTCAGAACCTCGCCCGTCACGGACCTGAACAGATGACCAGTGCACTGAACCGTCTGCTCGGTCAAACCTCTCTCTGGTTCTGGTTCTGGTTCTGGTTCTGGTTCTGATCCGCTGAGACTAAAACACGTCAAACCAACAAGAACCTCAAAGAGCCAAAAAAAACACAGACTGTCCCTTTAATCCAGACGAACGTCCCCGCGTTTAAAGGGTCATTTCATCAAATCGATCTGCAGACCCGCCCAGGAAGTGGTTTTCATCGAAACCCCCGACCCCGAGAGTCCAGGTCAAAGTGCATCATCACAGAGGGGGGTGGGGTCTGATGGCGTCAAACATCGTCACATCAGGAGCTCTGCTAACATATATATATATTTATTTATTTGGCATTTATGTCGAGGAGTAGGGGGCGCTATTGTGCTTTAATTTTCATGGGGGGGCGGGGTCACAATAATACAGATCTATGTTATATTTTCTATACAGACTAAAAAAAACCATCAGAGTCTTCACTTTAGAAAAACTAACTCCTACTGAAGGCCCTTTGTCCGAGTCAACGCCATCAGGAGTACCGTCACGCAGACACGCCCCCATCCAGAGGCCGCTGCAGCGCCAACACCTGCGGCAGGAGGCGGAGCTGCGAGGAAGGACACGGCGGTAAACGCACCGTCGCCTCAGAGACGGAAACAAGCTCGATTTGGCACATCACCGCACATCAGGAGCGTTTGTTCAATACGGCAGGACGCCCTCCGCACGCCATCGCCACCTCAGTAACCTCCGAAACTCAGAAAAGGACGACGACGATGGCGACGACAACAACACAGCTGGAAAACTGAAAAACACTCCATGACCTCCAAACTAAGAGACGGGTCAGAGTCACTTCAGCTGTGAGTGACTTCCTGCTTCACGACCTTCAGGAGAGTCCCGGCGCCGTGGAACACGAAAGAAAGGCGAAATTCAGAACATGTGATGTTCCGGTCTCGTGAAGAACGTCCGCTCGTGTTGACCCGACGCAGCTACAGTTCTAAGATGAATTTCCTCGGACCATCAGAACTCGGGATGTTCTGAGTCGTTCTCACGGCGCCCGACTCTCAGCGTTCAGGTTGGATCTGACGTTCCTGTAAAGCCCGTCGTGATGACCTGCTCCTTCCTCGCTTCATCCATCATAGCTACCTTCAGAAACGCCACGCTGAGTGGTTTTCAGGTCGCCGTGCGCCCGAACGAACGCGGCGGCGGCTCCTCTCTGTCAAATTCATCTTTTGGAGGAAGTAAAGGGACGAGTAAGAAAAGAGAGTTAGAGAGAAGGACTCCGTCTAGATTCACAGCAATATCCCAACTTTCAACAACAAACACAAGCTCACACACGCCACTGCACGTCACCGTCACACTCCTCCGTTTTCTATAGAGTAACAATAAATGTAGGATTTCACAGAAATAATAAAATGTTAACAAAACAAAGTGCAAACACAGCTGCCATTATTGAAATGTGGCAAATTGTCAAAACCCCCCAAAGACCTCCGAGGCGGTCGCACAAATCTTACAAAATAGTACTTGTTCTTTTTGTAGTGTGTAAAAAACAACAACAACACCCGACAACATCGAAGAGAACACCGAGTCGACAACATGAACACTTTCTGAGTCTCAACACGTGGACGTGAGTCCGGAACATTTCCACAGGAAAGCTATTACTGCCGGGCCTGCCGCCACCGCCGACGCCGACGCCGCCTCAGCCCAGAGTCGGCAGGGGGGGTGGAGCCGAGGGTGGCCGGGGTCACACGGGCTTCGTGTAACCGAAGATTCCCACCGGGAAGTGCTTGACGTGTGTCGGCCACTGAGCAGCGAGCTGGAAAAACTTGACATCGTTCCACTCCACGCCATCGATGGTGACTGAGGAGGAAACAGAGACGTGACTGAGACGGAGGACGGCGTCATGGACCTGGGAGTTAACCTGAGAGTTAACCTAAAGTTAACCTGAAATTAACCTGAGAGTTAACCTAAAGTTAACCTGAAATTAAACCTAAAGTTAACCTGAGAGTTAACCTAAAGTTAACCTGAAATTAAACCTAAAGTTAACCTGAGAGTTAACCTAAAGTAAACCTGGGCGTTAACCTGAGAGTTAACCTAAAGTTAACCTGAGAGTTAACCTGAAATTAAATCTAAAGTTAACCTGAAAGTAAACCTGAAATTAAACCTGAAAGTTAACCTGAGTTTGACCTGAGATAAAAACTTAACGACCTCATGTCATAAAATTCAAAACCTGAAATACAAAAGCTCCGCCCCCTAACCCAGGAGAGATGAACACATGAATTTAAAGTCAAACTGGTGTGTGTGTGTGTGTGTGTGTGTGTGTGTGTGTGTTAGTCTCGTTAAAGTCCCTGCACTTTAACTTCAGCTGAGCTGGACTCAGACTCGCTCAGAGGATTTCTTTCATATTTCTACGTTCAGCTGACTCTTTTGGACCGGACTCTCTTGGACCAGACTCTTTTGGACTCTTTTGGACCAGACTCTCTTGGACCGGACTCTCTTGGACCGGGTTTGGACTCGGTTTGATTCTGAGAATATTTGTCGGTCTCTGAATTTCCTCTCATTTGTTCGTATTTTATTTAAACTCCCGTTAAAGTGTTGTGTCTAAATCGGAGCTGTAGTTCCCGACATGAGCAGCAGGTGGCGGTGTTACCTCTCAGCATGGTGTGCTGGTGTTTGGCGGTGCAGATCAGTCTGCTGATGCCGTCGATCACTTGGCTCTTAGAGTCCAGCTCTTTCTCCTTGGGCTTCTTACTGAGGAAAATCACTGCAGGAGGAGGAGACAGAGGTCACACCTGAACGTCTGAGCGAGGGTTAACCTCACGGCGTTCATGTCCTACCTTTCTTGTTCTTCTCCTTGGTGACCACGGTCATGGCCATGCTGGGGGGCGGGGTCAGCTCTCCTCCACACGGCAGCCGGCTGACCTGCAGAGAGCGGAAGTTGCTCTTCAGGGTGTTCTTCAGCCCCACGTCCCTCTTCTCGCCCTCCTTCTTCTTCTCTGGACCCTGCCACGTCCAGTAGTCCACCTGCAGTCCCATCACCTCACTGCCTGAGCACGGAGATCTGCAGGAGGAGGAGGAGCAGGAGGAGGTCAGAGACTCAGCAGAAACACGGGCCTACCTGTCAGCTCAGGGGTGTCCGACCTACCCAGCTCCAGAGAGGGCGGTGGACACGGAGGGAGACTGGGGGGGAGTGCCGCCGATCTCCTTTCCATACGGGCCGGCCGATGGGGGAGTGGGGGAGGAGAGGATGCTGGTGTTACCTCCCATTGCATCATCAGAGTCGACTGAAAGGAGGAGGAGAGAACATCCTCAGATTTAAGGCTCTAAAAATAAACGACCATCTTCACCAAGTAACCGAAGAAGAAGAAGAAGAAGAAACCACACGGAGGTTCTGAGGTCCACCCTCCTCCATCAGGACACCTTCAGAAGGAGCTCTGACTCACCTGAGGTGGAGAGGCTCTGCTCCACAATCCCGACCTTGACCACCTGAAGGAGAGGAGAGGATTCAGTACGAGAACAAAAACCAGAGAAGAAGAACAAACGGGGCAGAGGAACCAAAGTCTCACCCCGATGAACGGCACGAACTTCTGACAGGAGTCCTCATCGGGGCTGAAAGAGAGAGAGGAGACAGGCTGTGAGGACCAGAACCAGGACCAGGACCAGGAGGAGGAGGAGGGTTAATATCTGAACACTCAGTGATCCTGGAGGGAGGATGGCGGTGACACGGCGTGCTGACACGGCGTGCTCCATGCTCCATCACAGCAGGAGTGGCACATGAGCAGCCGTGGGTGAAATGGGGTCGTCTTTGGGGTCACGGTACGATGAGATGGATGAGAGGAGGACCGCTCCTTACAACCAGAACCGGTCCGTCTAGAACCGGACTCTACAGGGATCGTCTTTAACTTTGTTCACATGTTCTGAGGAGCAAAAAGAACTTAATGTTTGTCTTATTGATCGACCTTAGTGCTATTATTAGAAATCAATTTTAGGTCTTTTGGTCACATGACAGTGAAGCTATTGAAGGAAAACAGCCTTTTCTGAGAACATCAACCGGTAATTTATTGACGGTCCCTTATTCAACACCGACGTTGACAGTGAGGGTGTCGAGTAGATTTAACCGCGCTGCTGTTGTTATTCCCGGTTATGGAGAGAGAGAAGACACCGGTAGATCCTCAGAGAATGTCCGTCAGATATCCAACCTGAAACTAACTTCACCGCCGTATTTACAGGAAAATATATCCAACCTGAAACTAACTTCACCGCCGTATTTACAGGAAAATATATCCAACCTGAAACTAACTTCACCGCCGTATTTACAGGAGAATATATCCAACCTGAAACTAACTTCACCGCCGTATTTACAGGAAAATATATCCAACCTGAAACTAACTTCACCGCCGTATTTACAGGAAAATATATCCAACCTAAAACTAACTTCACCGCAGTATTTACAGGAAAATATATCCAACCTGAAACTAACTTCACCGCCGTATTTACAGGAGAGTATATCCAACCTAAAACTAACTTCACCGCTGTATTTACAGGAAAATATATCCAACCTGAAACTAACTTCACCGCCGTATTTACAGGAAAATATATCCAACCTGAAACTAACTTCACCGCCGTATTTACAGGAAAATATATCCAACCTGAAACTAACTTCACCGCCGTATTTACAGGAAAATATATCCAACCTGAAACTAACTTCACCGCCGTATTTACAGGAAAATATATCCAACCTGAAACTAACTTCACCGCCGTATTTACAGGAAAAAACACATTTATTGTTTTTTTATTCGCACATGTGACCCTAAATACATTTTAAAATTCACACACATCTATTTTTAGTGGCAGTGAAACGGTTGAGTCCTGCTCTGGGAAGAGGTCTGGGCCCGGACCGCTCTGTAGTGTGAGGCGCCTCACTGCTCTAAAACTCTCAGTCTGATTCAGGATCAGAGGAAACACACACAAACATCACAGCAACGGGGGGACCAGTCAAACCAGTCAGACCAGGAGGGACAGGGGTCGGGTCGATCCCTCACTCCACTAAACTGAACCAACAAGACCCGGTTCTCCCTGATCCTTCCTGGGGCAGATACAGACCTGCAGGCTCCACTGAACTGAACCAGGACCAAGATCCACCAGCTGACCATGAACCTGGACTGTTCGGGATCCGGGAAAGTTCCTCCTCCTCTGTAAAGGGACCACCTTAAGGGGGACGGCCCTCTTCAGGTGGTCCCTAAAGTTAAGTGTTTATTGGTCTATAATCTCCTGCATCTGTGAGGTCTTTGTGTCTCTTTGGCGTTTTGTCGTAAGGCGTCGCTCTAGAGAAAGCCGACTGAATGGTCGTCTGTTTCAGGCGCCATGGAAACAGACGACCGCTCCTCTCGGGGTTTATAACCTCTTGCGTTGCGCGTGCTCTGCGGCGTGGCGCTGCTTCAGGTGGTGAAAAAGATTTGAGGTATTCCCCGACTTTGTGAGAACATGTACTCGACATAATTTACAGTCCACATTACTCTGCTTCATGTCCGACCTCCAAAAACCAAAATACCTCCACACCACCGACGTTTTCCTAACGCCAGTGTTGTGGTTGACATTGATGTGGTCATCTGTTGAGCCTTCATGGTCATTTCTGTCGGGGGTAGCACTCATTTTCTTTGTTTCTCACCAACAGTGCTGTCGGCTTCACCTGTTAAAGTGCTATGGTTGGGTGGAGCTGCTGTCTGCTACGACGCTGCAGTTGGTTGATACTTGGTTCTAATTCAGAACATGATTGGTTCAGACCCGGAGAAACTCCCCTTTTCATTGGCTGTTCGTATAGTCGACCAAAACATGTCAGAATGATGACTATTGAAAAGGATATTGATCATGTTTTATATCAATATCGAGGTAAATTAATTTTTGATAGATATCGTTATCGTTTTATCGCCCGGCCCTACTCTGGGGTTGTCCATCAAAACTGTCCTCAGCATCTATGTTTTCTAACTCTACTCCTTAATGAAGAAGCTCAGAGTCGACTAACTCAGAAACTCGGGGGCAGCAGAAAGAGCGGAGATGTTTTTGTTCGCTCTGCTTCAGTCCTTCTGAATCTCCTGTTCTCTAAGTTCTGGTGTTAAAAACTCGGACCTTCACCTTTGAGCAGAAACATCTCCTTTCTGTAGGAACTCGTGGTTTTTGAAGGTTGTTAGGCAAAAATTCACAGCAACAACACAGAGGAAGAACCAAGAACCAAAGATCACAGCAAACCAGAGACAGAGTGAGTCAGAGTGAGAGTCGGACGTGAAAAGGGAAATGTGGAGACACAGCGGAGGAGGAGGAGGAAGAGGAGGAGGAGGAGGAGGAGCTCAGGCTGGATGGGGGAGAGGAAACACGGAGGGCCAAACCAAGAGTAAAGAGTGGAGCAGGTACCTGATGTAAAAATCAAAATACAAACTCCGTTTCCTTGAATGCAAATAAAAAAGGGGGGAGAAGGAATGCAAGAGCGTTAAAACGGCGAGATGTCGTCTTTAGTACCTACAGACCTAACCACAGACAGGACACAGACGGACAGACAAACACAGACAGACACAGACAGACAAACAGACAGGAACGCAAGAGCATCACAATGATGAGATGTCTTCTTTAGTACCTACAGACCTAACCACAGACACAGACAAACACAGACAGACACACAGACAGTCTGTAGAAGTGCAGCTGTGTCTGTAGGACTGACTGAAGTTACTCGATCTAATCCTCATCAGTCCAAACCTGGTTCCTCTGCATGAAGGTCAGTCTGATCTAGATCGAGCTAGATCTATACTCAGACAGTAAAGACAACTAGAGCCTAGATTTACAGACGTCCCTGAATGTTCCAGAAAAAGACGGATCTGAACTACAACATGTACGTGTGTCTGTGTGTATTTGTCTGTGTGTCTGTGTGTATTTGTATGTGTGTCTGTGTGTCATATGTGTGTATTTGTATGTGTGTTTGTGTGTCATATGTGTGTATTTGTATGTGTGTTTGTGTACGTGTTTTGTTTGTCATCTGATTCCTTATTTCAGTAAAACAGTTTTTCTTTTGCATGATTACACACACACACACACACACACACACACACACACGCACACACACATGCTGACAAAGAGCACAGAGAGGTGCAGACTGAGCATGCTCAGACTGAAACTGCCCCCCCCCCCCCGTTACCTCTTCTGTTTGTAGGTGAGCATGGCCTCTGAGATGGGGAACTGATGGGACACGTTGGCACCGGCCAGATACTGGACCACTCGTCCCGCTACGTCGATGTTATCTGCAGAGAGACAGAAGGTCACCGACACACCGACACACAGACACACACACACACAGACACACAGACACACACTCCTGTTTCATGTCTGAACAAGCTGCAAGACGACTGATGATGGAGGAGCGTGAACTCATCAGTGTCCTCCTCACAGACAGACAGAGAGAGAGAGAGAGAGAGAGAGAGAGAGAGAGAGAGAGAGAGAGAGAGAGAGCTGCAGAGTCAGAGAGGTCTGTAACACACGTGTGTGAAGTCAGACATACTGACACACACACAGGCTGAGGTCCAGATCATCTGAGGACCTACAGATGTGGACACTCTCCATGTCAGTTCATTTACAGCCCTGCTCCTCCTGCTCCTCCTCCTCTTCTTCTCCTCCTGCTCCTGACATGTTCAGACGGAGCAGGTGAGAGTTACAGGAGGAGATCAAAACAGAAACAGAGAGAAGGGGAGGAGGAACGAGCGACAGCTGACAGGAGAAGAGCTTCGACACGTCAGACCATCAGAGAAGAATCAACTGATGATCAGGAGATTATCATCTATTATTATCACTCTCCTCTCTCCTCTCTCCTCTCTCCTCCTCCTCTCTCCTCACCCCCTTCAGACCGCCTGAACATCAGACGTGCAGCTGTCTCTGTGGTCGTACCTGAGGAGGGCCGCTCCGTCCTGCAGAACAGCTCCCTCCACGCCGTGTCCATGAAGATGTTGTTGAACCTGCTGTCAAACGAAGCCACGTACTTCGCCAGGGGATGAGAACCTGAGGAGGAGGAGGAGGAGCAGGAGGAGGAAGTTTGGGTGAAAAACGATCATCTGCATCATTTGAAGCTTTTATTTTGAAAGTCCCGGCACACTGACCTATGGGGATCACCAGGAAGCGGATGTACGTCAGCCAGTCAGGTGTCTTGTTGGCGAGCTGCTCCACGAAGAACCTCAGGATGGTGCTGAGGTAACTCTGATCCCCCGCCACCGCCACCTTCATGGTCGGGGGCGTCTGTGCGTTACAGTTACAGCTGAGAGGAAGGAGCGAGGAGAGGAAAACAGAGTCAGATCAGACTGTGGGAAAAACTCACAACAAGATTCTTCCTCTCCGGGTCCAAAAACCGGTTCCTGATTCTGTCAGGTGTTTGGATTTGTAATACCTGATACCTGCACGAGTATCAAGTTCCTGCACGAGTACTTGTCTGTTTATTTGTGTGTGTGTGTGTGTGT